ACTCTTTATATCCAGGGCTGCAAGAGGACCCATGTGGGTCCTATCAAGTAGGTGTTCTTTTAAGAATCCTCATGTGTTCTCTCTTTAAAATGTTACTGACACACTGTGTCAGTATCTAGTAACTGTGTTTTTTTTTTTTTTTAAGCTATAATGACAAGTTTTGTATTGGTATTATGAGGCTGAATTTAGTTAAAGGAACAAAAAGTTACTATTCAGGGATACAAAAAAAAATTTTTGAAGAATTCAATATATATTTTCTGAAATCAAACTGTATTTAGAAATTAGACTAAGATCTACAAATCAAAAGGGGAAAAAATACCTATCCCCAAATTTGTGAAGTCAGAATTTCCTGAACTAGACTGTCAATCTTTCAGAATACTTTGTCCATTCGTCTTAAAATTCTCACATTTTTAATCTAACATATAAGGTAGCAAGTACCTCTATTCAATGAATGCATGAACCAACAACTATAATATAGTTCTAACAGTGTTATAACTGCATAATCTAATAAATCACCAAACTCACCTGTCAATCAAGACCAATTTATGAAATCTCTTCAAAGAAAATGCTCTGGCCTGGTGTGATGGCAAATGCTTGCAATCCCAGCCGCTAGGGAGGCTGAGGCAGGAGAATTGAAAGTTCAAAGCCAGCCTCAGCATCTTAGTGAGGCATTAAACAACTTAGTAAGATCCTATTGCTAAATAAAATAGAAATAAGGCTGGAGATGTGGCTCAGTGGTTGAGTGCTTCAGAGTTTGGGACCCGTGACCCCCTCCCGGCCATCCCCCCAAAATAACTGTACCTCTGTGGTTTTAAATTTTTTTGTTGTTGTTGTACATAACACAATGCCTTAATTTATTTATTTATATGGTGCTGAGGGATCAAACCCACCCAGTGCTTCATACATGCAAGGCAAGCCCTCTACCACGGAGCCAGAACCCCAGCCTCTTATCTTTGTGATTTTTCAGCCCTTTTTGCATTTATTGATATATGCATTCAATGCATTTATATATTAATTACTATAATGTATTACAAGTATTTGTTCCCTTTCTTCTCCAAGACATACCCTTCCCACTCCTGTACCCTAATCTCCAATAGAGAAAGGGCAGTCACAGTCTCCTTTAAAGTGCTRACACAATTGACAATAGGTGGCAATTCATAAGACCTACATAGATATAGAATAAATTAAAATTTTGAGTTTACACTTAAAGGAGACAGTGACCGTCCTTTCCCTATTGGAGATTAGGGTACAGGAGTGGGAAAGGTATGTATTGGAGAATACATATTATTATCAATAGTTGGCAAATCGTAAGACCTATATAGATACAGAATAAATTAAAATTTTGAGTTAACTTTCATGACTACTTTTTACTTTTAGTAACATCATCTTTAGAACACCCTGCACCACACTCCAATTATCTAAATAGAAAGCCATCATTCCCATGGATTTCTCTCATAACTAGAGTAACAACCAATATCTGGTCCATTTCCATTTTTGTTGGCACTGTAAGACAGGAAAAAAACAGACACACAGGTGGACTATATACTATACCAATCTAGTCTAAAGTAGTATTTTTAACTTTCAAACTTTATTTGAATATTTTTAGGGTCATACATTTCCTACAAACTATTCTGGTGATAGCATAAAACAACTCTGGTAGGAGCCAGAAACTCATGTCACCTGGCTCTTCTCAACCCCATAGACATAATTTGAAGTCTCACTGCTTGCAGCTGTGATGACTATCCTGATGAACAAAGTATCTTTTCTTCAGTGCCTTTCATTTTCTTAGGTAAAAATGTCATCAGAACATGCTGTTACTTTACCCAACAAAAATCACAAACCTTATTTGCTACACTATGGTTAAAAGCAGTGAGTTTGGTGTGGAACAAGAATTAATGATCCTACCTGCCTTAAAAGCAGCTGTACTCCTAGTAGATGTTACAAAATGTCATCTATTATGGGGGTGGGTGAGTACTTCTTTGGAAAATTTGCTTAAACCTGAAGAACAATAATGGATTCTGTTTAAGTAAGATGTTGTAAACCTAGTCACATCTATTCTCTTTTATAGCTCAAAGTTCTCCCCTGTATGCAATTCATACAAAGACAAAAATATAGAGACAAATTATGCCCCATTGTGTAAGCAGGCAAACAATGAGTTTGAAATAGTATGGATTAAGAATATTTAGCATATTTAAAAGATTTAATCATTTTAATCTCTCTGACCAACACTACAGAACCACTGCAAAACCCCATAGTTTAGGAGTCAATCGCTTAGGCCCAGCTCATTTACCATCAGCATCTGTGCTTGTCCTTTAGTTCAGTAGTTAGGAAAGACAGTACATTTTCTATTATCATTTAAATGTCCCACAGCTGCATCATGGCAATCCAGCCAGGATCAATTAGGTCAAAGGTGCTAAAACATTAAATTTAGCTTGTGCCTCCAAATTTTCTCTCCCATCTATAATCTTCTAACTTTTGCTTAAGTTCCCAGAGCTTTAAGTACCACACAGTTGTTTTTTGGTTATTTGGTCCATAATCTCTTATTATCTGTTGATGTGTTGGCTTAATAGATCACTACACCATATTGGAAGAGGAATTTTAAAATCTTGCTTTGCATTTGCTGTTAGCTTCCCTGAAATATACTAAAATGGCAGCAATAAGAATTGCTTTCTTTAAATGTTTCAAGTTCTTGAAAATATTTACATATTTTTACATATTGCTCACAGGGATATCTAGGTCTGAACAATAAATGTAAATGTTCAAGATGTCAACAAAGTCAAGCATCCTAAACTTAAAAATCTAAAACCTTTTGAGAACTAAATGATTCTCAAAAAAAWTCAGATTTTGAGCTGGGGTTGTGGCTTAGTGGTACAGTGTTTGCTTGGCATGTGTGTGGGAATGGGAGTGATTCTCAGCACCACATATAAATAAAGATTAATTGACAACGAAATATATTATTAAAAAAAATTCAGATTTTGTAGCATTTTGGATTTGGGGACTAAGGATGCTCAACCAGTAGTCTATGAAATACTCCAAAATCAGAAACACTTCTGGTACAAAGAATTTCAGATAAGGGATACTCAAATAGTATATCCACAGGTTTTAGGAACTAACTGCCACATCCACACTTTGGCTCTGCCTCTTATTGTTATCACCATGAGCAAGTTCAACTTTTCTCAATTATATAATACTGAGAACAGTTTTTATCTCACTGTTATTATGAATAAATATGAAAATATATACAAATGAAAAGTGTTTGATCAATTGTAGTTGTACAAAATAAATGTCCCCATTTCCCTTAATGTCTTCCCTCTAATTAAAGAACAACACTACTCACAAAAATTTAATATATTTGAGAATCTTCATAGTGAGAATATTTACAAGACAAAAACCAGGAAAGAATACAAGCAGAAAATTGTACCACAGGAAAGGAAAATCAGTACATAATGGCAAAATATTCAACCCCATGTTATTGTTAAAATGCTAGCTAAAATAGCAATCAGGTACCATTTTATAATTGCTTAATCAGAAATATTAAAATAAATAATACTGACTAATTTTGCTGGTATACTTTTTGGTGATAGTGGGAATGGATACTGCTATTTTGGTCAACAGATTGTTTCCTTTCACAAAAGTATTCTAAACTCTAGGTCTGTTACCTGTGATACTGGACCTTCTGTAACTCAGTATTTATAGCTTTATCTCCTTTCCCTTCCACAGAAGACAGAACTCTCTCTAGATCAAATCCTTTCCAATCTGTCCCCAAATATCAGTTATTTGGATATTATTAAAACATCTGAGATATGTAYAGAGAATGAAGAATGAGCAATGTTAAATCCGGGGTCAGGAAATATGAGCCTATTATCAGGGAAAGGATGATAATAACTAAAGAATTAAGGCTCAAGTATCAGGAAAGGATATGGCCCCAAATAATTCATCCACAATAAGATTAGATCACATCAAAACATGTAGGATTCATAGTAGAGACACTGTTTAGGCATTGTACAAAGACATAATAAAAAAATATAGATAGTAGTCTTATAGTGTGTAATAACTTTCTTTTTCCAATTCTAAAGGAATTTAGTCTCACCTCTTTGAAATGGAAAGCAAAAGGCACAAGAATTATGATAATCATCAAGCTCTTGAGTAATTTAGTAGGAGAGATAGATCTATTTATTCATAGTTATCAGACTCAAGAGAAAGATCAATTTGATTTAGTCCACTGGGTCTTAAACTCTCATTCACCAACAGGTCCTTGATTAGAATATTAAAGAGTACCAGTAATCTTTGAAAATATATTGGGAGACTGCACATAAACCCACAGAAAGCACCATACAACACACCTCTTTCCAAACTCCATTTAAATACTCATAAAGCTTAAAAAAAATAAAAAACYTACTATGATTGCAGAAACCAATTATTGTACATACAAAAACATGATATTTCAACATCATTAAAATGGGAAATCATTTCAACATCTRTCTCCTATCCCAGGATCTGGCCTTGTGTCCACAAGAGACTATCCTCAAATAGCTTGGTGCATGCATAATAGCTTTGTGTTCCTTTTGTTGTTCAGCTACTTGCTTTACAATTTTTCCTTACCTAAATGATTTTTATCAGCAATAGAAAATACACTAATACTGCTTTAGTAATTAAACTAATTAAAAGCTGACTGTCAGCTATATTTATCCTGTAATTTAACTTCATCTTTTTCTTTATATTTTTGCTTTTACATATAGAATTTACTACCAACTAGGTATTCTCAGGCTCCCTAATACAAACACATTAAAAAAACTTGCACTAAGAACAAGCATTTGTTGATAGATATAAAATCACAACCACACTAATTGGACCAGAGTTATGTTAATTGTGAAAAAGAGAAATCTGCTCATTTATAAGTGATAATAAAAAGGAAGAAAAAACATGAGTTAAGTAACAAAATAACATTATATAAACAAATTATATCCCAAGTTCTTAAAAGATTATGTTTGAAAAACAGGTCAAGGTGCAGGTTTGCATTTTAAACTTCCATCATATGCTCATTTGGGTCCTTTTGCTTTGGATTTTGTTTCCTTGGGAATCCTTCCATTTTGACTTTGAGTAAATCTGGCTACTGTAGAAACACCATCCACAAACTTGGTTTTGAAAAGAACATTTGCATTGTTGAACATACCTTCTTTTAGGGACACTACAATGAACTTAAGGGAAAARGAAAAAAAAAAGCCAGCATTAAAAAATTATTGTAATATTCCTGAAAGAGTTCATCCCAATACTTGACTCCAAGAAAATGCATGCCCTTACATGCCAAGAAAAAAATATCGATATTAGACTAGTTTCCACATTTGATTTTAGAAGTCTCAATGTTACCCYGAGTACTTCGCTGCTCAACTTTACTACTTCCTGATGGTTGACAGCCTGTTGCTGCTTTTGTTCTGCTCCTAGATGTAACTGCCTTAGTAAAATTTTATTATATATACTTTAATAATAACAAGGCTACAAGTTTCCACAGCCCCATCTCTAGCCCAAATGTAAACTGTATATAATTAAGAAAAGACACCAGTTTTATGTCCCMAAAATGCCACCATAAATAATCTATGACAAACAATGATAAATGAAGCCCCCAGAGTTGTACAATGCATAATTTATGCAATTGTATTTGGCAGACACACTTCCTATAGCAATAGTACAATAAAAATAAACTATTCTTAACTTCAAGGGACTTTTCTTCAGATTTCAGGCAGAAAAAAACAAAGTTACCCCACTGAATACCACACAATTTTCTGATTTTCCTGTTAAGGGTATACTAAGAGTTCTGTTCAGATTATGTATCCTATGTCAGCTAGAAACAGATAATAATTACATCAAGAATCAATTCTAAATTCCTTTATGCTACAATCAACAATTTTAATGTCTGGTTCTTTCTTTATAGGGACCCCAAAACTTTTTTCCTTCCATGACCATTGAACTCAAGCTTATTTAAACAGACATAAAATACTTCAGTATCCTTCAAACTTAAACATCTCACTAACATTGGATACCTACTAAAGAATTTAGAAAACCAAATACTCAAACTATTATTGAGACATTTTTTTTCCTGATTGTTACCTGAGAATGCGTGAAATGAGTACGGAGCATCTGTCCAATATTCTGGGTATGAGAAAGATCCAAGGCTGCATCTACCTCATCCAAGATATAAATTGGAGCRGGTTTGAAGAGGAGCATAGACAATATTAATGATAAAGCGACTAAAGACCTAAGAGAAGATTGGCAGAAGAAAAGACAAAATTTGACCACTTTTTAGCAAAAAAGAAAGAAGTCTGCAATCTAGTAATAGTAATATAGATTTATCTGAAAAGTCATACAAAAAAATCTTTAAGATTCAAATGCAACATTTTTTATTTCTTTTTTAAATTTTTTTCACTCAAATTCGTTACATATGACAGCAGAATGCATTACAATTCATATTACACATACAGAGCACAATTTTTCATCTTTGGTTGTATACAAAGTATATTCACACCATACGTGTCTTCATACATGTACTTAGGGTAATGATGTCCATCTCATTCCACCGTCTTTTTTACTCCCTTTCCCCCTTCCTTCCCCTCCCTCTCCTTTCCCCTGTCTAGAGTTCCTCTAATCCTCCCATGCAGTTTCTATCAGTATGCTGATCTTCTGAGTCACTGTTAAGTTCAGAGAAACTTCCTTCAATTCCACATTTCATCTTTTCCCCAATATCTTCTTTACTTTACGTAGACAGAAGGCGCCATCTAATATCACTTTGCTTTTGCCCAAGAACTTCTGATAAGCATTAGCATAGTTTGTTGTACCAAATTATTTCAGCTTTTGTCTGAAAAAGTATATAAATTGTCTTCAGTGTGAAGAATTTTTTGTTTCATAATAATTATATAGGTTGGCATTTTCTTTCAGCACTTCATAGATATTCTAAATTTCTGTTTTGCATAGTTTTAGAAATCTAAAATCATTGTATCCTTATCTTTATTATTCACAAATAATATGTCTTCTCCACTGGCTGCTTATAAATTTTTCTCCTAATCATGAGTTTTCAGCAACTTTATATATGCTTTGCTGTGCCACTGTGTGTATGGCTCTGTGTTCACAGATGTGTGGCTTTCAGAATTTATCACATATGGAAGCCTTGGGGCCTTAATTTCTTCATATATATATGTGTCACACACACACACACACATACACACACATGCTTCCGTCTTCATTTCTTTTTAGAATTTCAGTTATATGTACATCAGGCATCTCTCCACAGGATACTGTTTTTTTCCCCTTTTGATTTGTTTATCTTTTTACAGTGCAAAGGATCAAATCTAGGGCCTTGCCTATGCCAGGCAAACACTCTATTACTGAGTCATATCCTAGCCCTTTCTTTCAGTTTTTTAAAATTTCTTAGTTAGGTTGAATAAATTCTGTTGTTATGCCTTCAGGTTTGCTTATCTTTCTTTTACAGTGTCTAATCTGCTGTTAATCCGATGCAGTGAATTTTTCATTTCAGGTATGTTTGTATATACAGATATTTATCTTGATTCCTTTTAATAGCTTCCTTCTGTTTCTCAAGAACATAAGAAAAAAAATAATAATCTAACTTGTCTCATAGATACATACTTTCTGTCATTCCTGGGTCTGTTTCTACTGATGATTTTTCTCTAGGTTAGCATCACATTTCCTTGATTTTCAAGGAAACCTTGAGGTTGAATAGTGAGTTAATTTTATTGTCTTCCTATAAATGAGAACTGGACTTTGTTCTGACAAACAATTAAATAACATGCAGATYGATTGATCCTTTCAAGGTCGTTGTCAAGTTTCTTAGGGTCTGTCTATAGTGGCCTTCGTTTCAGGGACAGTCTAGACTTAATACTAAGGTGTATTCTCTTGGACTTCCCAAAATTCTAACTGATATCTCCTCAATTTAGTTAGAATACTGAGCTCTACTGGGTTCCCCTCCTTGCTTCTGATACCCAGAAACTGCCACCAAGGAGAAAGTCAGGGTAAGCACAAGGCTCAGTACTACAGCTTCCTCTTTCATATTTCATAGTCCTTAACTATTTATTCATTTTTCCCATGTTTGAAAAGTTGTTTTTCATATGTTATTTAATTTTCTAGTTGCCTATTCTTTCTTCTCCTTTACTGCCTACTAATTTAATCAATCAGTCCAACCAAATTAATAAACTTATGTTAAGCTTCTTAAGTTCTCTATATAAAGGTAGTTAAGCAAATCAAAATTCAAATAAAATTGGAAGGTAATGAAATGAAGGATTACAATAAAATAAAGAGAATGGGCTATTATAATATTGTAAAGGGTTACTCACCTCTGACCACCACTAAGCTCAGTTAGGTTTTCTTTCCAGGTATTTCCTAAAGCAACCTTGAACTCGAGACCATCCAAAACAGTTTGTCCCTCTGGTGGTGCAAGCATAGCATTTGCACCAGGCAAAAGAGTAGAAAAAATAGACCCAAAGTCTTTGTTTACCTGGATTAAAAAAGTCATATTAAAACATCAGAATGCTTTCTAAGAAGGATTAATTACTTGTATATGTACATGATATTCATCAGGTCCATTTTGTTATATGTTATTTTAATTTAGAGGTTGGCTAACTATCTCACGTGACATCTGCCCATGTCCATTCATTTAGAAACTGTCTATGGTTGTTAGCACTATGGCAGAGACTGGCTGGCCCATAAAGACAGAAATATCTGGACCTGAACTAAAACAATTTACTAAGACATACCGTAACTTTCAGGGAGGAAATTAGAGGGTACATTTCTACTTCTATTCCAAAGTTTTCATGCTTTTATAGAACATATTACAAGAATCCTCAAGAAAAACACAATTATTTCACATGGGGGAAAAATACAAAAGATGGAGAAGCAAACACACAACAAAAAAATATTCCCTTGTAAATTTTTTTCCTCCTGTTGATTAATAGGGTAAGATGGGTCAAGGGTCACCAACTAAATACCTATGTAAAGCAAGATGAAGTCTTGGAGAAAAGAAGAAATAAAATTGAAGGACCAGATCAGTTGAAGATGTTAAAGGATTCTTTTCTATATCCCTCATCTCATAGTCAAAAAGGATAGGTGTGATGGGCCAGGAATAGCACTAGATTCCAAAAGAAAAAAAAGATGAGAAAGCTACTTGGTATTCCCCTATCTTGCTACAGTAAGATACTATATACAGGAATTTAGGGACAGAATTCTAGTTTGTAACAGGAAAATTTTGTGCATACACACCTAATCAATGATTTGGGAATTTGGCCACCTGTCTTCAAAGACGWGATTTAATAACTGTTAAAGCAAATTTGAGGGTATACATACATACAAACCCATATTCCCCTCCTGCAAAAATAAATCTTCAGAATTTGACAGTCATGTTCTCCAGGGAGATCTCCAAATTCAACTATATGTACACAAAATTGAAATGTAAATATAATTAGGAAGTCTCTTGGTGACAAGCAGCACTTCTGAATACAGCCTTAACTAAGGAACAACATCTAAAGAGCAACTGCTCATCTAAGTAACATCCTACACAGTAGAAGTTGATAGTAGAAAGAGGCCACTTGTGAAACAGGCAGCTGCCCTTACCAATCCTGCAAACCAGTCAGATTACCCAACATCCTTCAGTCCCAGGAAAAAGATGCACAGGTTGCCATTCAGTTTCCCTATAAAGTCAATCATGCAGACAACGGACACTGAAGGGTCCCCCATCTGGACCCACCAGTATGAGCTACTGAAAAGTGTCCTATTTGCTGTTGGGCATACTGTACTTCACCAACCTATGCCCACCTCATTGATCCTCAGAAAATGACAGGTGCCACATCTCTGATGCTGTACCAGCTGTGCCTTGACTAAAACTGCCCACCAGAGCAACCCTAAACATCCTGCAGAAACTGATGCTTATACCTACGGCAGGACACACTGTGCCCAGTCACCAGAAAAATCTATCTTACCTAGATGGGTTGCATCCCAGTAGTGAATGCAATCCCACAACTCCTGTAGCTTAGGTTACTGGACACCGACAGACAACACTTACACTGACTTCAACTGAAGAAAGTACACAAACAACAGACCAAGACACTCATGTGAAACCAAATTCAATACACCCTATCCTACAGACTTCCTAGAAACATTGCTAGGATAAAGTCTGACACTGTGAAATCCGCCCAATAAACTGGTATAGGCAATTAATTGATCCACCAGATGCACAAATATCAATGTACAGACACAGAAAGCATAAAAAAGCATAAGCTAGCATGATGGCCCCAAAGGAACATAATAACTGTCCAGCAATGGATCCAAAAGAAAAGGAAATCCAAGAAGTAGTTGAAAAAGGCTTCAAAATGATTTTTAAGAAAATTTAATGAGATACTACAGAATATAGACAATACAACAAAATTAGGAAGATAATTCATTAAACAAATAGAAAATTTCAGTAAAAAGATCATAAAAGAAGCATAAAATAAACCTTGGAGAACTCAATAAATACAACATATAGTTTAGAGTATAAAAAGCAGGCTAGACCAAGCAGAAGAAAMAATTTCTGAGCTTAAAGATAGGGCTCGTCAAAGAATCTAGTAAGACAAAAAAAGAAGAAACTTTATGAGATTTATGGGACACAATTAAGTGAGCAACCATTCACCGTATAGGTGTTCCCATAGGAAAAAAGAAAGGAAAAGACACTGAAAACCTGCTTAACAGAATAGCTGCTGAAACATTCCAAGACAGGGACATCCAAAACCAGTAGGCTCAAAGGACTACTAATAGATTTCACCAGAATAGGTTCTCTTAAAAGCATAAGATAAAGAGAGAACTCTAAAACCAGTAAGAGGAAAAAAATGAAGTCATTGAATGAAGAGCAGATTTCTCTGTTGAAAAAAAAAAAAAAAAACCTTATACACCTGAAGAGAATGAGATGATTTATTCAAAGTCCTGAAAGAAAAATTTGTCAACCAAGGACATTATACCCAACAAAGCTACTCAACAGAAATGAAGGTTATAATAAATATAATACTTTTCGAGACAAAACAGAGGAAATTCATCACCAAATCAGACCTACAAGAAATGCTTTAGAGTTCGACACTGGAAGTGAAAGAATGGGAAGTACAATCATGAAAACACAAAATTTTAAAACTTAACAGAGTAGATAATGTGATTAAAAAAACAAAAACAAAAATCTTACCAAACAGAAAACCACCGAACCACAAAGATGAACAATAAATTAACAGAGGATATACAAATGAACATAAAAATAAAAATATTAACAGGAGTATAATGTCATTTATCAATAATACCTTGAATTTTTAAATAAATTTCCCAATTAAAATACTGACTGGCTAATGGATTAAAAAACAAAAACAAAACTAGACCCAATAATATGATGCCTTGAAGAAACTGACTTCACCAGTAAAGACACACAGATTGAAAACAGAGGGAAGGAAAAGGATATACCATACAAATCAAAACAAAAAGTAAGTGGGAATAGGTATACTTCTAACAGAAAACACAGACTTCAAATCAAAAACTGTAAAGAGARACAAGGTTACTATATAATGACAAGGGAATCAATTTCACATGAGGAAATAACAATTGTAAATATACAAGCACTCCACACTGGAACACCCAATTATATAAGGCAACACTTATTGATTGGATCTAAAACAGAGACTAATATAATAATAGATGGGGACTTCCACACTGTACTTTCATCAATGTACCAATCATCCAGACCAAAAAAAAAAAAAAAAAAAATCAACAAAGAAACATCAGAGTTAAATCATACCAGAGACTGATTGAACCTAACAGAGAGTTATAGAAATTTCATCCAATAACTGCAGAAAACATATTCTTTTCATCATTATAAAGAACATTCTCCAGGACAGCCCATATGTTAGGTCACAAAACAAGTCTTAGCGTGCTGTGATTTTTGGATTTGTTATCTTCTCTAACTATATACAATAAAACTAGAAATCAATGACTGGGGAAACTTTAGAAATAGTACAAATACAAATGAAAGAATTTCATGAATGATTAATGGGTCAATGAAGAAATTAAAGGAATACACCCCAAAAAAATTCTTAAGAAAACTGAAAAATATAAACACATACCAATAACTAAAAGCAGTATTCAGAAGGAAGTTTACACAGGAAGTACCTACATCAAAAACAAATAAATTCCAACAACATAATGATGTGCTGTAAGGAACCAGAAATGCAAGAACAAACAAAACCCCAAATTAGTATAGGAAAGAAATACAAAAATGGCAGCTTCTAAAAATAAAAAAGAAACTAAAAAAAAAAAAAAAAAAAAAAAAAAAATTGATAAACTTTTAGGTAGAAATCAACCAAGGTATGTGTTGATGAATAAATGGAATATTAATTCAGCCATTAAAAAGGAATAAAATTCTGACATCTAAGGAATAGGAGGACAACGTTAAGTGAAATGAAATAGGCCCAGAAAGACAAATATAGTTCTGGCTTTTATATGAAAGCTAAATCTGATCTCAGAGAAGGAAAGACTAGAATAGTGGTTACTAGAAACCTAGAAGGATATGGGTAAGGATGGATGAAGAGAAGATTGTTAATGGGTATAAGGAGTACAGCAGGATGGAATTAATTCTAATGTTCTATATACAGCAGGATAACTATGATTGACAGCAATTATTTTAAAATTGCTAGTATATAGGATTTTGAATGTTCCAACAAAAAGAAATATTAAATGTTAGAGGTAATGGATATGTCAATTACCTGGGTCTGATCACTACATATTGTAATTATGTCAACTGAAAATATATTTTTAAAAAAACTGCTATGGAAACGTTTAAGAACTAATACTTGACTTTTGTTAGTCTTAACAAGAGAAGCTGAAGATGGTAGAATTGGAAACATCCTTGGAAAATTTCTGGTTTCAATAAGTAGAGCTTYGACCATGTGAAATAGATATTGACTATTTCTAGTTTCAAGCAGAAGCTGAGTGGAGTACAACAGAAATTGAATAGCATCCAAGGTTTCTTCCATGTGTTAAAAGCCTACAGACTCCTAAGAAGTAAAGAAAATGAATAGAATCTCCTTCAAAAGTAATACTGTCCTGGTAAATGAAGATAATAGTAAGAAATAGAGAAAGCTAGAAAATCAGGATTTAATACAGCTTAAGAACCATAGTACCCRAATTGATGGAGTGACAAAAACAGTCAAGTTCAAAAAGATAAAATGCATTTAAAGTCTATTAAGTTTAAATTAAGGCGTAAGCATAGGCCTCATTTAAACACAATTAGTAATATCAAATTCCTCTTAGAATATATACCTAATGATGACCCTTGACTCATAAAGAATGAAAGAAAACATTTTAGGGCTCAAATACCTTTTGCCAGGCAATATTTAGAGCTTGGTTTTTCTTTTGGTCAAGGTCTTCTATAGTTGCAAGGATTTTGGATTTGTCATTTTCTACAATTCTCTTCTTCTTCATCAAGTCATTATACTGTGAGATTAAAAAGCATAATTTTTAAGCATATTCGGTAAATACAAAGTTTCCTCCATATTCTGAAATTCACTCAGGAATAAGAGGTTTCATTATTTTAAATATAATACATACAATCTTATTTACCAAAAGGTACAATGTACTAAGAATTATAATGCAAACCAAATTATGAGTAAAGTAAATATATCACCCAAATGTTTATAGTAAAATTCAATTATTAGAAGTGAGAATTTTTAGGAATATTTCTCAAAATATTTTAACCATTATTATTATATTATCTTCCTAGCAATCAAAGCAAAAAGAAAAATGTGTCATATGTAAACTCAAGTAAATGTTCTGAATAAAAAGGAAAAGTCTTAGAAATAACATAAGTAAAATTTTAATTCTTCACAATAATAAAATTTGGCTATTATTTATCTCTGACTTTAAAGCATCAGACTCTTCCCCAGAGTCTAGCCATATGTTTATTTTTTTTTTTCAGCTTCTTGAACATGATAAACTTATTCTCTTCATTGTTTTTGTTTTTTTTCCTAGAATGCTTTTTCCTGTATCTACATTATGGGTGCCTGGACTTGTAATTCAAACATCATCTCTTCCTTTGAGGGAGGCTGCAGTGGAATAGTTATATCATGAACAGCCTTAAAACATTCTAAAATGCTTCCTAACTCATTTTTCCTTTAAGCTGCACATTTCAAGGAAACTCCATATTCTCTGTTAGTAACTCCAGCCAGTCTTGTTCTTTCTCACTGTCCCAGTCCTTACTGGCCAACCTCCTCTTTGTATTTTTATATCTTTTTTTTTTTTTTTTTTGCATATGTCCATGTAATTTCTTACATGAACAGACCAAAAAAACCACAAGAAAAAAAAAAAAAAGCCATCTGCTGATCAACAAGAGAGTCTTCATCTCTGATAAGGAGAAAAGACCTGATGAATTCTTACCAAAAAAAAAAAAAAAAAAAAGGCCTAGGTATCATTGTTTTCAAAAAGTATGTAAATTCTACAATAGTGTGCAGCTCATATTTAGATAAAATATTTCCTTCCACAAATATGCCACACTTTTAAAGCCATAGTGTAGGAAAATGAAAACCAGCATTTTATAGAGAAGATCACAGCACCTGCACTATTATCCTGTTTGGCATGTAAAATAACAGATTGCTTATATACAGAAATGTCATTAATATATTTTTTTAAAGACATATAACAAAATTTCTTAGGAGTAACCATCTCATACACACTATCACTTCTGCAGATCTCTCAATTTACTTTAATATAAAATTTAAACAGAATTTTGTAGAATTAAGGAAAGTATGAGACATTAACACAAAATTTCTAAGATTGCCTCTTCCTACAGTGTCCCAAAGAGTGGGGACTGTGGTTCCCACAGGGTTTTTCTCGTGGCAAGACTTTCCAAGTTCATTACTAGGAGACATTAAAATTCCCTTTCTAGAGTTTTATCAAGAGTAGGAGAAATGGATAACTATTAAGTAATCAAGAGCATTACGACCTAGAAGATGCTGCTTGATTTAGAGAGTAGTAAAATAGTGGTTATGCCAGAACTAAGCAATTAATGGGATCTGTAAGTGTTTTTTACTTACATCTTTACAGCAAAGAGCAAAAAACAATGGAAATATCGTGCAAGGTATAGAAGAACAGAAAAACAACTGGTAAAAAAATAAAGTCATAAGAAATGAAGAAAAGGGGGAAAAAGGGAAATAGAAAACAAAGTACCTAGGGCATTAAGCAAAAGTTGGATGAAATAACTTCATAGAGGTCATACAGAGCCATCAATGCTACTTCATTCTAATATGCTCAGATATCCATAGGAAATTGACTTACTCGCTCTTCAGCTTCTGTCAGTACATTCATAGCTCTCATATTGACATTTCTTCCTAGTTTTTCCTTCATTTCTTGCAACTTCTGAAGTCTCTGACCAGCTTCTTTGGGGTTATTAGTTTTGAAATCATAGGCACTATTAGGTTGGCCAAAGAGGTGTTTCTCTGCATTAATCCAGTCATAATCTTTCAACATTTTGGATACCTAGCCACATATGAAAACAGAAAGATCTATGATTGTTTAAAAAACATTTATAAACCAGTTTCATAAATATTTACTAACTTAAAATCAAATATTCGGGAGAAAAAAAATACAATAATCATCTGAAAAATTGAGGTTCACCATTGACAGAAATAAGAATGAATATCTTTACCTAGAGCACAGGGTCAAGAAACAACAGATCTTATAGAAAGAGATCTTCCTATTACTTTAGCATTAGAAGAGGAGTCAACTCACAGAAATTTTTACAAGGTACAGATTGAGTATCACTTATCCAAAATGCTTAAGACCAGAAGTGTTTTTGAGTTTTTAAAAATAATTTGGAATATTTTTATATATACATAATGAGATATTTTGGGGAAGGAACCCAAGTCTTTAAAAAAAAAAATTCATTTATGTTCCATAGATACCTTATATAATCTGAAGGTTAATTTTATGTATTTTTAATGTGCCTTTGTTTTGACTAAGATTTTTGGATTAAGATCTTTAAAGTACATACACAAAATATTTCCATTAAAACAAAAGGTAAATTAGATCAGGCTCCTTTAGAGAGACTCTTTCAGATTTTACCAAACTGAATCTATTGCTTCAAAAAACAATTTGTGATGAGCTAAAATTCCTGCAAAATGCTTAAGTCACAGGTTTAGTAAAATCATGGAAGCCTAATTCTGACTATGTAATAATTTTATCAAGATTAAAGTCTGAGGAAAAAAAATTGCCCTAATGTTGACTCTCTATTATTCCTGCTAGCTTCGGTATAATACTTCACAGTATTAATACCTCTTCATATAATACAATGAAAAAAATTTCAAATTATAGTTATTAAAGGCTTTCTTCTATAAGAATTAAGATTCATGCTAAATGGTAGAATCTAATCCTTATCAACTTGTCAACCATCACTAATTTCATGGATATATGCTTATCCTTAGGCCCTAAAGCAAAATTATCATTTACAAAAGTCTATCATCTGTGCTGACTTTTAAGTCCTGTGAAAGTATTCCATAGGTGTTACTCATTCTTATATCTTCAGTGCCCAGTATAGTAGCTGTTATTAACAGGCATGCCTAAATGTTTTTCAAAGAAAATGTGTTTCAAAGATTTTAGCATCTCCACTGGCAAATACCTCCTTTTATCCCCTAAATAGCAAACCAGAAACAAAACAACAACCAAAACACACAAACACAAAAAAAMCCCCAGCAATCACAAATACTAACATTTTCAATTACCAAAAACGATTAGTAGTAATATTGGTATCGGTAATATCTCAGTGATTCCAATACCACTAACTATTATGCTAAAAAGAAATCAACAGTAATGAAGTGGAAGATTATGATTTTTTTTAAGCCAAGAAGTGAACTTATATGGGCATCTATAATTCTTTCAGAGGGTGGAAAGACTATTTTGTATGTTCTTGATGATTCTTTTGAAGTTAAAGTTTTTCTTCTTTCAGGATGCTTAAAAAGATCCCATGTGTGAAAAAAGCAGCAGGGTATTATACACTCATAGGAAAAGATAATGGATGAATGGTTAAGACCATATGGATGTAGCCTTTCAACTAAACAAATTTCTGCAAAATTTTGTTTTCTTCTTTAAGGTACTGTAACACAGAAAGAAAGTTTTAAAAGTGACCAAAAAACTGTGGAATAATCTCAAAATAACTGTTTTTGTAAAACATCAGATTTTTTAATAAAACTGAAAAAAACTGATCCTTTTATAAGACCATGTGAAAGGCAATTAATTCTTTTAAAAATGCCTATATATGTGTCCGTGTGTTGTGTGTATATATACATACATACATATATATACATATATACATACTTATTTCACTGAATTTTTTTAAGTTGAATTTGAAATAAAGTTAATGAAATATTTATCATTCCAGTACATTAATAGTTCTATCAATATTTAGAGATAAAAGCAGTTATTCACATGGGAAACCATTAAACATTAAATAAATACATCTTATTGAAGGGAACAAATATCTGAAATTAAATTTAAAAATAAAACATCTGTGACATTTGTTGAAAGTAAGTACTGTTGAGAAGCAGTTAAAATAGTGTGTGCTCAAATTATGTTAGGCTATTGTTCTGCCATTTATATAAAGGTTTTCACTGAGCAGTATACTAGAATTTTTTCAATGACCCAGAAACAAAAACTTGATTATTAATGATAAAAATAAACACAAACATGCCTTTGCCGCAGCATCTTCTGCTTCCCTTTTATGTTTGCTGATATTATGGTCTAATTCCTTAATTTTAAGGTGAGAATCATTGTTTTGCTCCTTATGTTTTGCCACCTCTGCATATTTAGCTTTAATTACTTGGTCTTGAGCTGTTATCACCTCTTTTTGCTTGGTCAACTCTTCTTGAGCTTTATTTACTGACTCCTAAAAGAAAGAAAAAAAATTAAAGAATAATGTAAATGTTTTTATTTTACTAAAAGCTTGTCTGACAGACTTCTAGCAAGAAGTCAATGTGATTACAATCAGATGGTTATCTAATATTCTACATTTTATATCCCCATTAAGATGACAATGAATTGACACACAGGACAAAGGGATGATTACCACTGGAAGTAAAACAGGCTGGGGAACAATGTTCATACAGAAAATAGTTATTGATGAATATAGTGTAGATGGTATTAATTGGGTGGAAGGAGGGACTACTGGAAGCTGACCTGTGAGGTCTCTCAAAAAAGTAATATTCTGGGTAGTTAACAAGAAGATAATGTAACAGACTCCCAGATGACAGGAAGGGCAAAGATCAGAGAAAAGAGAGGGAGGCTGGGTCTTGCTCCTTCTCTATTCTGTAATATAAAGCATCTGGATCTTACCAAAGGTAACAGAAAGTCACAGCATTTGATTCTAATCAAAACAGGGGTCAAAACAGAGAAATGGAAGAGAAAGGAAAGCTGCTTTGGAAGGAAGAGACCTATGGCACAAAGAAAATTTTTTTTTTATACCATTTATTGAACTCAGGAGCATTGTACCACTGAGCCACATCCCCAGCCCTTTTTTGTATTTTATTTAGAGACAAAGGGTCTCACTGAGTTGCTGAGGCTGACTTTGAACTCAGGATCCTGCTGCTTCAGCATCCCAAGTCAATGGGATTATAGGYGTGGGCCACCCACACCCAGGGAAAAAATTTCTTGACCTGACTTTCACTACTATCATACTTCCCAAAGTTGGGGCTGCTTAACTTCTGAAATGCTAACTGTCCTTGGGATTTACTGTACCAATATTCACAAACACCTTTGCTTCCTCCTAGATCTTGAATATCCTTTTGGGTAAAGATATAATTCCAAACTCACACAAATGTGTATTTGAAACAACAAGAAAACAAAACACAACACCAACAGCAGAAAACTCCTAGTTCAATTTATATTTAGGTTGGAGGAAAAACAAAGGGCAAAAACAAGTAAATAGAACGAACTGCCAAAAAACTCTAAGGAAGAACAGACCTCCTTAAAGTAGTTTACAAACACCAGTAAAAGTTCAGGTATTTTTTAGGCATACTTATCAGAAAACCAGATAATTTTAAGCAACAAAAAATGCTCCATGTCAGGATCTTAAATGGTCCCAGTATGATTTAATTTCCTGCCTAAATTGTACCATTAGAGGTCTTTCACAGGAAGGCAAATTCTGGCATTCACCTTAAAACCTCAAAAGATATTTTAGCTGGCTGGGGTTGTGGTTCAGAGGTAGAGCACTTGCCTACCATGCATGAGGCACTGGGTTCGATCCTCAGTACCACATAAAAATAAAGATATTGTGTTTATCTATAACTAAAAAAAAGTAAATAAAAAAAAGATATTTTAGCTTTTTAAAAATTTTCCAAGAACAAAAAAAGGAAGTGAATAAAACTCTGCTAACTAAAAGAAATAAATAAAGACAAAGGGTTATTAACTAAAACTACACTTGACAAAAACATGTTTACAAAGATTATCTTCTATCTGGAGTGTAAAGAATATACAGCAGATTTGACTGCCAATCTTTTTTACAATGGTAGAAAAATACAAAGGAAATCTATCACTTAAGACTGAACAGAAATGAAGTTTCAAGTCTTGTTTATCTCAATATGATTAGTTAGTAGGTAGGTAGTTTTTGTTTTTTTTTAGCTTCCCACAAGTGTGATTATTTACTCCTATCAGCAAAAGGAAATAATTTATAATGCAGAACCTGAATGAACAACCTTTAAAAACTAAGTGAGAACATTTTATAGTTTTCTGTTAAAAAGAAACAAATACCCTCTTAATGGAATTATGTTCACATTTTGATTTTGGTTTTTAGATTAAGAAAGGAGGGGATTWTTTTCACATTTCTCTTTGAAAACTAATACATCCTTTTTAAAAATTCTACAACATGATGCTGATGAAATGTTAGCAGAAAATATAGAGGGACAGAATGAGATAAAAAAATAAAATCAAAAAGTTTACTTTGAAAGCAAAAAAGAAAACTGAATAGAAATAGAAAAACATTAATCACTAACAAAACTAAGTGAGATGAATTGTGATTTTATAATCAAAAAGTGTAGTTAAAATGGTTATTCTATTRTTCTATTTATGCAATAAATGTGTTAAAAACAAAAAAGACATTGAATGTAGCCAAGACTAAAACCAAGAGGAAAATGCGTTTTCCAAAACAATCATCTCAAGGGGAAAAACGTAAAAAATATAGAAGCATCTGACAAAAGAGGAAGTGTTTGTAAATGAACCAAAGTCCCCTGTTGACTGCCATGTACATTTAGTTCACATGAAACTCAAATGAGATATACTACTTATAAAAAATAATATCGATAGCTGATGAAAGAAACCTTGATAATGAAAGTGGTATTACAAAAAGGAAAATACAAACAGAAATCAACAGAATTAAATATTCCACAAAAAGTGATAGAGCATATTCATTATTCATGAAGGGCAGTCTCTAATACAGACTGTTGTAATACTGACTTCCAGGTAACAGTATGTCTTTATAACATTTGAAATCCTCTCAACTCAAAATCTACCCTTCATTATCCTGCTTCTGAGAATGGAACATTTCTCCCTTCCCATCTGCAACCATACTAAGCCTCATCAGTAAATGTTACCATAAGGACAGTGTAGGAAGAAGGGACTCTGTGCTGGTTCCAGCATGCTTTTAACAAAAGCAGTTGCATCTGGCCTCATAGTACTAGGCTTCACAACTCTCCAGGATGGACACCATCTTGTGGTCAGTGTTTTAGAAATCTATTTCCAAGTAGGTACCACATACATGCAGCACTTCACTGTGGACAGCTGCTGCTGACATCTCAGAAAACATCACCACCGGTGGGCCACAGCTATGCCTTCTGCAACTAGATCTGGTCCACAGCCCTCTGAGTGGAATGGGGCTCTTTATCAAATATGTTCCTCAGCCCTAGGGACTATTTCCTCTTTTTGTTGTTTCTTCATTTTTTAAGAATTCTCCTAACACCTTAGGGATCAATTTCCTCCATCCCAAACTTCTTCTACAGTTAATAATTTTTTTCTTTAAACTCTGCTTGTCCAAACTAGTGTGTATTTTGTATTCTGAGTAGACTGAGACTTGAACAATTATTGATGTTTTTTCAGGGTTCTTTCTGGATCTGTAATCGCCATTTTTTTGCTGTATGCTCAAACCGTGACAAGAGTGAAAAGACAGAAAAAGTAACGTGTATCTCAGTTTCTCCAATTTGATAAATCTTACCTTATTTTTAGATACCTCAGCTGCCATTAATTCAATTTGACCTTCATAGGATTTGATAGCTTCATTTACAGCTTCAAGCTGTTGTTTACAGGATGCATGCTCTCTCTTGAGCTCTTCTAGCTCCAAAGTGATAGCTTCAACTTCCTAAACAAACACAATATATAGGTATTACACAATATATAGGTATTCACACAAGTAATTAACTGTTGACAAATAAATATAGGGCTAAAAATTAACAGTAGTCTCATTGTCAACAGCTTAGTTATCAACGACTCAACTACCAAAAGCACATGTTAAATTGCCTCCCCAGAAAAAGGGGAAAATGGAAGTATAATTTCATGTTTAAAAGATGAGGAACAAATTATAATTTTTATTTAAATTATAAATCCCTAATTTTTATGAATTTAAATAACTGTATTGATTCCTTTGTCTTTTTATTCATATAAGGAAAATAATACAAAATTCTACTTAACAGATGAATTAGTTTTTTTTAAACAAAATTAATCAATGTGMAAAAGAGTCATCTTCTTAATTTTCTCTTTACCATTATAAACTTTCAATTCACTAGAAAATACTTTGTGCTGCTATTTAATAACAGAATCTTAGGTTAAGAAAAATTGAAAGGTAGAGATGGATGGAAATGATAGGAAAGATTTAGTATTAGGAGACAAAAAGAGAGGTTCAAATTCCAGCTCTGATACTATTCAAAAACTGTGAAGTACCACAAGTCTACAATTCAATGTAAACACAGCACACTTTGTTTTCATTCATGTAATTACTTATGAAACAGAAACATCAACTTGCTGAATCTCTGATATGATACAGCTCCACTGTATCATAAACTCCTGAAAGAAGCAATTACTAAGAGGCTACTTTGTTCTTTACCTAAAATTTGTAAGTTAATGCACCCCAAACTCACATGAGACACTCAATTACAGGGTTTTCTTTGGCTTACAAACTCCTAAATAACACAACTCACTTTTAGATTTGGGGATCAATATTAATGAATAATGTCAATCCATGATGTTCTACCATTTTCTGCTTTATGTTGACTTTAAAAGATTGGTTCCATTTCAAGAAAGCTTACCTGTTGTTTTTCTTTCATTTTCTTACTAGATGCATCTGCCTTTGTTTTTGCACAATTCAGTTTTTTCTGAGCATCTTTTAGTTCTCTCTCTCTTTCAGCTTCTGCATTTTTCATTTTATTCTCCAACACTTCATATTTTTCTTCTGCTTTTTTTTGAATTTCTTTGGTGTTTTTTAAGGTCTCCTCACTTTCCTCTGGATCATAAAGTAGTTAAATTAACAATTATCGACAGACTTATAAATTCAACTTTTAATATAATAAATGGCCTGAAAAATGAGAAGCTAGAGTTTAAAAAAATTAACTATTATAACCATATTCTAAAGATTGTATAGTGAAACAAATACTATAAGAGCCATATTTCAATTATCTAAAGATCTATGAAATTATTTCTAATCAGTAACATCAATTTTACCTACAACTTACCTACTTTTAAGTTTTTGAGTAACTTACCAAAAAGATCACAATTCATATATACATACATATACACGTGTGTATATGTGTACATTTATGTATCTATGCATACATATACATATAATTTACATATACAAACACGTGTGTGTGTGTGTGTGTGTGTGTGTGTGTGTGTGTGTGTAGGGGCTCATACATGAAAAACACACATCCTAACACTAAGCTATGTCCTAGTCCCACAGTTCATATTTTTAATATACCTAATTCCTAAAACCAGAACTAATAGGACAGCCATGGTATTTTTCAGTGATTTTAAATGCCCACTTATACACATTCAAGGAACCTCTCATTAGAGAAACACTGTGAGAACATATCTTGGATAAAGTATGAAAAAAATATTAAAAAAATAAAAGAGCAAGATGGGCTTGGTGGCATATGCTTGTAATCCCATGGCTCAAGTGGCTGAGGCAGGAGGATTGTAAGTTCAAAGCCAGCCTCAGTAATTTAGCGAGGCCCTGAGCAACTCAATAAGGCCCTGTCTCAAAATAAAAAATAAAAACAGGTTAGAGTTGTGGCTCAGTGGTTAACTGCCCATGGGTTCAATCCCTGGTAACAAAAACAAGATAGAATGGAAATGTTAATGTAACAATTGAAACATATAAGTGTTAGGTCCTAGATGCAAATGTGACTCTAGAAGCCATGTCGAAACAGTATTTTACACTACTTTTCATTGCAGAATAAAAATACTAATGGAGAAACAGGTGTGTGGATATTGTAGGAGGAATGACAAAAATAAATTTTCACATACAAATCTAATGTTTGCACTTATTTAGGGGGATGGCCATAACTGAATACAATTAACATTAAAAACTTTTATATTGACAAAAATACTATAAACAATGTTAAAAGATAATAAGACAACAACATCTATAATGCACATAACTTACAAGAAACTGTAATTATGAGGAAAAAAAATAACAGRAGAAAATGAAAAGAGTGAAACAGAAAATTTCACAGGAGAAACCCAACAATGCAATAAACATACAATAAACATACAAAAATAGATCCCAAAATTAAATACTTATTAAAAAGCTGATGTGCTATCTCTTCCCAATCAGCAGACTAGAGAATTTTAAAAGTCTAGAAATGATCTGAAGAAATGAATACTTTCACATGCCACTGGTGGAAATGAACAGTGCTAAAAATGGACAAAATTCTGGTGACATATRATGAAGATGACCTAAGACCCTGAAGTTCCATATTGGATTTAATCTACAGAAATGCTCCCACATAAGCCAGGCATGGTGGTACATGCCTCTAATCCCAGAGGCCTGGGAGGCTGAGGCAGGAAGAACTTGAGTTCAAAGCCAGCCTCAGGAACAGTGAAGTGCTAAGCAATTCAGTGAGACCCTGTCTCTAAATAAAATACAAAAAAGGGCTGGGGATGTGGCTCAGTGGTCAAATGCCCCTGAGTTCAATCCTCGGTATGAAAAAAAAAAAAAAAATGCTCCCACATGTGTCTTAAATATAACTGAATCTTCAAAATGTAAAGAATTTTAACATAAACATGTTAAGCTCAAAATATTTTGATATTACCAATTGTTCTTTTAAGGGCATCTAATTCTTCTTGTTGTTTGTGATATGAGCTTTGCTGAAGCTTGGTTTGTAACAAATCTGCCTCTTCTGTTTTCATCTCCCACTGTTGTTTTAGTTGGCGATACCTTAGAAAAAGAAGTTTGTAATAAATGTTTTTCCTGGTGTACGAGACATGCATTCAAAATCGGGTTCTCACCTAAGATAAACTCACATACATTATAAACAATATTAGATACAACTAGTTATCAAGAAAAGTTGATGACTTTCAAGATTCAGGGGCATCTACTCAAGTCTGATCTGGTCACTAAACTAGTTATAAAAATAGTCTTAATAATAATAAAAAATAACTTCTGAATAAATAAGTTTTCTCACAAATAATCTCTCCTACTGATTCATACCTAAAACTACCCACAAAATACTTACCACAAAAATAAGACAATTCCTAAAATTACATAAAGTTTCAAAAATAAAGTTACCTACTTATTCCCATTTTTAAACAGTAATAATATTAATATTCCCCTTTTTGTAATGAGACAGTTTATGAAAACATGGAATACACCTTAGTCATCAGTAATGGACTTCCTTGTGCAAATCCTGTAATACTACCTTGGTTCTGATAGCTTAGCCATCTCTTTGGAAGATATTTGGCTATTTCAGTTGTAGTGAAATTTTAAGTTAATAAGTCACAAGATTACCGTGTCACTAGAAATTGATGAAGTTTGAGGGAAAAGGAAACAACTCATAAAATATTAACACTATCTTGAATATTTGTGATTGAAACTCTTGCTCACCAATAATTAAAGTAACTTCAAGACATGTAAAAAATGTGAGATGGACATTTGAAGAAAAATGTACAGATTTCCTAACACAATATGAAAGAATAGCTTTAGCTGATGCTTATAGTCTTATATTTTTCTAAATCTATTTTCTTTCTTTCAGTGCCACATTTGTCACAGAACAAATGATCTAATAAAACTGAACAAAATTAACAGATCCAAGCCAAATGTAACTGAACTCATTGCCTTGAGAAAGATTCTGCATGGCACAGAAAAATTTTGTTGCATCATTCACACAGAAAAAGTTCATTTACTCTCTTGTTAATTTTTGTTACTAAATGTAAATGAAGAAGGCTTTACATGTTTGTGACATCTGAAAGAGGCCGTTTTAATACTATCTGTATTTTGAAATGGCCAATTTGAATATGAAAATTTCTTTCATAATACAATATCAAGAGTCTTTATCATTTTAAGCGTTGATAACTTCAAAAATTAAATGCTATCAATGTACCCTTCCCCCAAATTGAACATATATTTAGATTTTTACATTTATTTAATACTGTGAATTCTGAATGTTTTCATCACTTCCTATTTGTCTTCAGAGAGACTAAAAAAAATTACAATTAAACATTCAAACAATGCATTTTCTACATTTACAGTACTTCTGATGAAACTATAAAGTAAGGGAGACGCTCCTGGATAACCACAGGACCTGTTCTTAATTATCCTTCAGGTGTTTTACTCAATAGTCATGTTCATAGTGAGCTTTTCATGACCATCCAATCAAAATATCAGCACCTCTTTCCTTCTTAGATCTAACATATTTTACCAATTTATCTTATTTCCTCAACTATATGAAAACTAGATAAAGAGAGATTTATCAGATTTACTGCTATGAAGAGTACATGGTACATATAGAAGGCATTCAACAAATATGTAACTGAGTGAAAATGTTAAGTGACAAAAAAAGATTACAAAGTGAAAATATGCATACACCTAAATTATAACTGAAAAGAAGTACTGCTGAGTATACATGCATACCTTTATCTACACTCACACGGAAGAAACACTGTAAGGGAACGTTAAAATCTTAGAGCTGACTCCTTGACATGAACTTTACTTCCTCCTCCAGCAACCTAGTGATCTTGGGACAGCCAGAATACTGCTAAACTTAGTGCAGACACCTGATTCATGCTCCACTGTTTCGAGTAAGATAAAATCAAGAACTCAAGTATCCTATGAWATCTGACTCCAGAATACCTAAGGGTTTCCTCAACAACCCCAAGAGTATACCAACAGTGTACATCAGTAGGGAGAGCAGAGTATTTCACCTTTATTTCCTCCTTTTGCTTAATTAAAATTTGCAAAACATTCCTTTTGACTCTCAATTTATTCAAATATTTTAAACAAAACCAAAGTTATGAATTTGTTTAAACAGAAGTAAATTTTGTATCATTTTCTGCCACACAAATCTTTGAGATACATATATGGCTTAATAAAACATAGTCTTACTTTTCAGCAGTGTTTTTAAGACCCGCCAATTCTTCCTCTAGAGCCTGTAGCTCGCTCTCCTTAATTCTCAGCTCATCTTGAACATCTTTGAGTTCTTGAAACTTGGTTAAAATAGAAGCTGCCTGGGATCGAGCACCTGATAGAGACAAAATGAAATAGTTTATTAAACAATAAAGTATTTCCTAAGAGAATTATAATGGAAAGAATTCAACAGGAAATCCTTCGTGAACTTACAAAGATACAGATTTCATTCCATCACCAAAACTAAATAACACATACAACCGATAAGAAACAGTTCTAAGTAGATGTGGTATACTATTTATTCTAAATAACCACTGCCTATCCTCCCAAGGCCCACTTTCTACCTCACTGATATTGGAGTTGGTAATGTGATTTGCTCTGGCCAATATAATGGGAAATTTGCCTCTTCTAAAAATAAGTTTTGAAAAGCAACACATAATTAACCACTTGCTTTCCCTAAGCCACGAGAAAAGCATGTTCAAGATAGGGACTACTTCTCTTTTAGTATGAATCACAGAATGAAAACAACACACAGCACAGGGTAAATGTAATATGATTATGGAATAAACTATTGTAAGGTATTAAGATTTGGGGGTTATTTGTTGCCACATCATAATCTGGTCTAAGCTCTGATACAGCACAGCAAAAGAGTACACTGAATTTACGTTAGTGTACAAGCGCCCATAATCATCAGTCTTGAATCATTCCATTGATAAGAAAACTGTTGGTTTCATGGAAGAATGCTTAGGTCAACTAGTAATGCTATTACCTTAATAAGATATGGGATTACATACCTGCCATCTATTAAGTAGGAACTTTTAAGAACATCTAAATAAATGAGATCTAAAAAGTTTCTCCTGTTTTAGATATTTAATAAACATACTAAGTTTATCTTCCATTTACAGAGACAAGTCATTTCAATGTGTACTGGATGTAGAAATACCCAGTGCCACAAGGAATCAGACACATAGTCAGAAGTAGCTCGGCAAGGTGAACTTTACTTCTGCAAAAAAGTATACTACCGGGCTGGCGATGTGGCTCAGGCGGTATCGTGCTTGCCTGGCATGCAAGGGGCGCTGGGTTCAATCCTCAGCACCACATAAAAATAAAAAATAAAGATCTTGTGTTCACTGAAAACTAAAAAATAAATATTAAAAAAAATTCTCTTTAAAAAAAAGTATACTACCAAACTAAGTCTGGCAAATATAAAATTGTAAAAATATAATATAAAGGGAGGGCAAATGGTAGGGCTATACAGGCTGGGGAGCTCAGAATGGCTAACTGGGTTATTTAAGGAATTTTATTATACCTTTATTTGTTCCCACCTCCCTTGGTTCATTGTGGCAGGAAAGTCTTCTTGAGGTGAATGCATTCTGACATGTACACAGCTCTTACTTCTTTACCTAAGTTACTATCTCTCAACAGAGAGATTTCTGTCTCTGTTGGTTACACTGACCCCTTCCTCTATTTCCTGTTTCTCAAGGTGCTGTTCAGGTACATGGACTTTGGATCTGCCACATCCATAGGCTATGGTGCTATTGTATAACTTTCCATCCTACTCTATTTCCATTCTGGCTGCCATTCTTACATCCCAATTTTACATTTAAGGCTAAATGCTACATTCTGGAAATAGACCACCAGCCTTTTTATTTCTCACATTGAGGAATCTGATACTTAAACATGGAATTCATTTAATTGGTCTACTAAGATAATAACTCACTAATATCTCAAGAGGCATTATATTGCCTACTRGGTAAAAAGTAAAAAACACAAACTGTGAAATCAAACTTACTGAATTAGAAAACCAAGTTTTGCTATTTATTAGMAATTTATTTAATCACTTTGTCTTAATGTTTTCAATTGCATTTTGAAGATGATAGTAATATGCCCACCTTATAGCTGTTATTAGAGATTAAATGAATTATTTAAAGCCCAAATAATAGGGTTTTATAAAGTGATAAAAATGTTCAATATATGCATAGTCCAATTACCCATTTACAGTTTGTGGTTTCTGAGCCCTTGAAATGTGACTAGTGCAAGTGAGGAAATTATTTTAAGTTAATTTAATTAACATAGAATCACATATGGCTTGTTGCTACTGTACTAGAAAACAATATGAACACTGTCTAATACAGAGTAAGTATTATTCCCTATTTCTTATATTATCACTTGATACAGATATAGAAAATTGATACGACAAATATTAGAACAAGAAGATATTCACTAAGAATTGCCTTAGGCATTAAGGAACTATGTTAAAGGTTTTTACTTTTAACAGGAACAGTGGCATCATTGATGTGAGTTAACAAGTTTCCTAAAGAMAGTGGTTAGGCTAAAAAATTAATTAAAGGACTTCATTTTCCTTGAGTGCAGATGGGCAAAAGATAAGAAACAAGCAAGCAAGAACATCTTAATATCAATATTCCAGTGACTGAAATACCCTGATAAGACAAAAAGCAAGAATAAATAGGAATAGATTTGACACAAATAAGTTATAAAGTTGATTAATACCCAAAAGCTCCTGAGGAGTATGACACTGTATAATTTCCCAATATCACATGGTCAGTATTTAAAGGTTAAATTTGATCCTTGGATTTATATTAATTAAGGCTTTGGAAATAAGTAYATATTTGATCTTAAGTGTTGAACCTAGATGCTAGAATTGGTTATAATCAAAGACTGGGAATAATCTCAATTCTACTATTCCCTATTTTAAAAATAAAGRGTGGGGGGCAGCCAGAAAGCCCCATCCTATTTACTATACAGAACTATAAAAACAAAGATACAAAACTTACCTCCACTCAATGTTCCATGAGGATCAAATACATCACCTCCTAGAGTTACAGTTCTAGTCATTATCCTTTTATCAAAGGCCACTTTTTTGGCGTTATCCATACTGTCACAAACTAATGTTGTTCCAAAGACAAATTCCATTGCTTTCTGAAGTTCTGGTTTGTAGTCAACCAGGGAAAGAGCCACATGAACATTATCAGGACCAACCTATGAGCCAAAGAATAGATATGCCGTATAGACCCTACTATTTTTCCTTTCAAATATTATTCTAGAAGATAGTAAGAAATACTATATAGAGATTTAAGTAATACAAGTTTAGTAAAGTAACTGTAGGGCTGGGGGTATAGCTCAGTAATAGAATGCTTGCCTAGCATATGGTTCTGGTTCAAACTCTAGTACTGTCAAAAAARGRAAAAAAAAAAAAGTTTAAACACTGAAAGATCTATTACTATATAAAAATCTTTAGCTAAACTACCAAACATTAGGAGAATTTCTATCAAGAAGGAACCAATACCAAATTCCTAAATCTAAAATGCACTAAGTAAACACAAGTTTCTTAAACTCTTAGATCAATACAATATATGTTTTGTTTTCCATCATTAGTAATCTGGTTGATACACAGTGAATATTTTTTCATTCAAATTAAACATATTAAAGTAGTTAATGACCACTTATAGAAATAAAAACATATTTAATAAATGAGAGTAAAAAAGGATTTGTCAGTCTTCTATTTTGATCCAACTGCCTTTATACAATCTTTGTTAAGAATGTCAACCTCTGCTCATCTTTTCAAAAAAAAAAAAAAAAAAAGCTTAAATCCCTTACTAACAGCTGCAGAAWTGACAACAAAGACAGCTCTATTTAATATTGTGTTCACTTATTTGCTTTTACGTACTAGCTACCATTCAACAGGTCTGGCTATATAGGATCTCAGAAGTGTTTTTGCTGTTACATGAAAACTCAATTAACTTTTAACATAAGAACTTGACCTAYGGCTAAACTTACTTCCTAATCCCATGTTGATTTGTTTTTAAATAAAGAAAGTACAAACCAAAAAACATTATCTTTCAATTACTCTGCATTCATCTTTCCTCTTCTGAGAGTACACTTTTCAATATAGCAACATTTTCAAATAATTTTCATTGAAAACTTCTTGATTTCAATAAGGACAGTAGATATCCACTTAATATCTTAATTACAAATGTTATTTATAGGTTTTATAGAACTGTCTTTTAAACTCATGCACTTCAAATGCCTATTCAATAACAAACTAATTTTGCTGCTAAATGTTATTGATTAGCTTCATAATTAAGTATTATACATCATAACAACTTTTTAAATATTTCCTTATACATATGTTTTCTTATTAACTGTCATCACACTTCAGATCTACTTTAGCAGTTGAATGGGCTGAATAGCAATCTAGAATTATGGATGCCTTCCATAATGGTTACTATCATGAGCAGATCACATCTTGGAGAATTTCAGAATTTTCTGAAAGTTCAATTCTACCCATTCAGAAACTAGGAATGCAATTTTCACTATCACCTAATAGTCATGTGACTTGACTTAATACTAATTTTTAAAGTATCAAAGGGAGTTCCAGCCTTCATTTCTTCTATTCTAGTGTCTTCATTACTTTTCTTGACATCTAATWGCACATGAGTCAATAATAAGTCTTCTCTATCTTAATTTTTTTAAATGGTAACAAAACTAAAATGTTGTGGTTCTATATGACTATATCCTCCCAAATTGATGCCTACGTTAAAAAAAGATTAAATATATATATATATGACATAAAATAAGACTTACAAGATTCTGAGCAACCCTCAGAGTTTCTGGAGCAATACATCTGGCCGTAATTTTATTGAGTGGAATTATAGTGTAACATCGCTTCAATTCTCCCTTTTCTAGTAGCTTTTTACCAGTAACCTAAAACAAGAATTTGAAATTTAAAAAAAATTAATGAAAAAAAAAACTCATTAAAATAGAAAGAATACAAGTTTAGGAATCCATAGTGAAGTAACAGTTTAGTATATTTGATAATAATTATTAGTCAAGTTCTACAACAGGTTGCAGAACTMTCTTTCACACTAATCAGAGAAGCTATAAGTCCTTTCACACAATTTCTGTTCCAGTTCTTCTCTGGATCCCTAACAGAAAAGTTGAGAAAAATTAACATATTAAATCTTCTATCTCAAATGAAAAGATTAAGAATATATAAAATGAATTATTACTCAGCCTTAAAAAAGTAAATGTTGCAATTTGCAAGAAYATGAAGAACCTAGAAGAATTTAAGCTAAGTGCTACAAGCCAGACATGGGAAAATACTGTGTAATTTCTAGATGTGCAAAATCTTAAAATAAAAATAAAACAAAAAAGAAATGTAACTAATTAGAGTAGAATAGAAGGCTACTAGGGATGGGGAGGGGAGGAAATGAAAAGAAGTAGCTCGTAGGCCAAAGGGTATATATTTGCAGTTATACAGGATAAGTAAGTGTAGAGATTTAGAAATATAATATACAGCATGAGGACTATAGTTAATATTATATTGATTGTAAAAAACTGGGCAAGAGAATTGATTTTAGGTGCTCCTACCACCATAGGAAAAACAAAAAGGCAATCATGCAAGGTGATAGATATGTAAGTTTGATTATAGTAGCACTATGCGTATGTATCAATGTTACACATGTTACAAATACATCAAAAAACATAAAATGTAAAAAACACAATGAATTATATTTGATAATAATTATTATAAAACACTGACATAAATAAGAACATTCTAAAGAGAAAAAAAGAGAAATGAAAAATGCAGGTAAATCCAATGTAACCATGATATGGGGGTGGGTGGATGACATTAAAAAAGGTTATTCCTAGATCATTTAAAAAATTTAAATCAACACAAATTTGCACAGGGGAAAAAAAAATTTAAAAACTATGATTGGCAATGTGCATTCTGAGTTCCTGAGTAAACACGAAACTTTATCAAGAAGTCACTGATTTAGCCAGGTATGGGGGCACATGCATGTAATCCTAGTTATTCAGGAGGCTGAAATAAGAGGATTACAAATTTGAGGCCAGCCTGGGCAATTTAGGGAGACCTGTTTCAAAATAAAAACTAAAAAAGGGTGGGAATGTAGCTCAATGGTAGAACACTTGCCTACCATGTACAAGTCTCCAATACTTAAAAAAAAAAAAAAAAAAAGTCATTAATTTCATCATATAGATATAACTGACCTGAGAAAATTTTAAAACATCAAAAAAAAAAAAAGTCCAACTATTGTAGCAGTATGTGATTCTTCAAGCAAAACACCTATTTCAAATTTTACTTTAATTAAAATTAATTTACCTCTGTATCCACTACAACATTGTAGAGTCGTTCTCCAGCTACCAGTTCTAAAGCTGTGGTTGCAGAACTATCTTTAACACTAATCAGAGAAGCTACAAGTCCTTTCACACAATTTCTGTTCCAGTTCTTCTCTGGATCCCTAACAGAAAAGTTGAGAAAAATTAATCTTAGGCAACAAAATAGAAAAATTTAAACTTTCCTAGTTAAAAGCTCTTTTGGGCAGCATATTAAACTAAAATGAAAACAAATTACATTTTTACTAAAACAAAAAAATTTAAATGTCCCAGGTGATAGTCAGCCACTGTTTTTAAATCAAAAAATCTATTTCAACTAGTTTTCAATGTAACTAAGAATTCTGCTGTTCTAAACTCTGTATTATATGATTACTCATAAATAAAACCCTTATAACAAAACAAATTATAAGACATAAATGTATATATTTAACAGTAATGACAGAAAGACATTGAACTTATATTAAATTCCCTTCATTTGAGTTTTAATTCAAGATTAGTGAAATGAGTAACCATTAAATTGCCCAAGAATTCCCCCCCTACAGATGTGTGAAACATTTTAATAAATGTTTAAAGATACAATACCAAAAAAGAAAATGCAATTTATAAGAAWTTTCATACAAAAATCCTGGTATTAACAAAAGTTTTAGGTGGTCTTTCAGCTTAAATAAAAACATATCTTTGTTATTACTGTACTAAAATGCAAGGTCTAAATCTCTTACTTGTATGCAAATCGAAGATTGGGAAATCTGGCCAAGAGAGCGTCATATGTTTCTTTCAATCTACTGATATCACGAGACAGTTGCCTGCGCTTTTCCAAAAGCCTTTCCTCCTTATTTTCTGAGTAAATCATAAGTACATTAATACAAAGTTTTAGAAACTCTTCAATGTTAAGGAAAATATAAGCAACCTCTATTTCCAAAGCTTTCTAAAAAGCGAAATATAAATTTTGGATAAATATTAAATAAAGAAGCATTCTTAACATTCAAATTTCTATCAAATGTCAAGTAGACATTATTTCCAACAATAAATAATGCAATTTTCATTTCAAGAAACAACACATGAATTGAATGCTTACTAATATAAAAATACACAAATGACATTTCTGAGTTTTAAGTGACTAAAGCAAAAAATTCTCCATACTGAGTTCTTGAAAATTCAAAGAGATCTTTAATACTTGATTTTTTGTGATTGTATTTATAAATACTTATACTAATACCTGTTAATACGGTAAAAAATGTTTTTTACTTGCTTATTTCCTTTAAATCAGTTTCTATTAATATTCACTACCTCCTAATGATTTGATTATCATGTCTTTAAAGCAAACCTTCATAATTTAGCTTCTTCATTTCAGTTTCAAGTTTTTCTTTAAGTCTTTTTACAGCTTCTAAAGCTTCTTGGTCCTTCCTGTAGCCACTATCCATCTTCTTAACTTCTGCTTGTTTATTCTTTAATTCTTGTTGGGCATGTTTCAACTTCATTTGGGCCTGTCATAGAAAAATGTAACAGACTACATGAGGTACACAGTGAGCTAGCAATCAAATGGCCACGGAGTTCAACTAGTTCAATCAAGAGACCTTAGCACTGAAAATGTAACTCTTTGGGGTCATGAAATAGTATTTCAAAAGATCAGTCACTTCCCAGTATTTTCTCCTCAATTACTTGGAGATAGTATCATTAATATAAGTTATTAAATAATTTCTAATTAAAGTCCACATTTTTAATATTTATAAAATATGACAAGGGTGTTAATAAAGTTGACAAATACTGTTAGTAACTGGTTAAATTAAAAACATATCAGAAAGCTAGAAATCTTAACTCTAGTTTCCTTCCTTTCCACTTAGGTGTTCATATTTGTATTTGTGTATCTTGTATTGTCTAGTAACAGCAAAGGAGCTGCACTGAGCAATGAAAAATAATATTTTATGAACTAGAAATGGTAAAGCAGCAGAGAGAACAGTTTTGTTTACCTTTTAAAGCTTAAGACTTAAACTTTATGATGTCAATAAAACAAATAAATTACAGCCAAAAAAAATGAGAAATGACTAACCTTCAATATTCCAAACAAGGCTATAAAATGAACAGTTATTTACTGCACTTACAAATTCAATTATGGCAATTCATGTCTTATAGTAGGTTGAAAATCTGAAATCATCAATATTTAACAATCAACAAATTTAAATTTTGTTGTAATAGGTATACAAAGTGATTGAATAGTGTAAATAAGTTTCTTGACATTGAACTGAGTATTTTCAACATTTTTTAACATAACTACAAAGTGCTTAATGTCTTTACTTACCTGTTTGGCCTCTGTCTGAGCTTTACTTATATCATTTTTACAGGCCATCATTTGACCAGCAAGAGTTGCTTCTGCTCCATCTTCATTACTGGACAAGCCAGCAGACACAGCATTGAAGTGTTGCTGTGCAGCAGCCAAAGCTTCAGCATCTTTTTTACTTGCTTCTTGAAGGTCATGCAGCCCATCTGTTATCTTCTTAACTTCTTTTTCCTTTGCTGCTAAAGTTTTAGAGTCCTTCAGGGAAAATTTCAAATTGAAAAATATTGTTATTTTAAGAATATATATTTATACACAAATACTCTTCATTAAATTTTGTAACAAATTTAATAACAAGGAAAATCATCATTATAACTTTAAGTACTGAATTCCCATTCTGAACTTTGCTGTTTGGGGGATGTAACTCTTTCACTCCCTGAAATATTTTCATCCCATATGTAATAGTAAAATCTAGGCAACAATGGGCTAAAAAATGATTGCACATTTAAATAATCTACTTGAAACTAAACATAGTCCTTAAAGTTTTAGAGTTGAAATAACAGCCATCCTACACTAAGGTTAAAAGCAGAGATTTTAGAAGTAAGAGTGTACACATTAACATACTTTATAAAGTATTAAGGGAGCACACAATTTAATTATTAAATAGTTGTGGGGAAAGAACTACTAAAACCTCTCTTAAGTGATACTAAACAGACATCTGACATGATGTAAGACAGCAATAGCACTGAAAAGTCTAGCTATCTTGTTTACTAAAAATGACCAGGAATTTGGGGCTACTTGAATAGTTCATGGTTCAAAAAATATTTATTAGGTGTTTACTATATACTGAGTATTGTTCAAAGATATTTAAAACACAAACTAAGACCTATCCTCAGGGAGCATATATTCTAAGGTGGAAGGCATGGCAAAAAATAAAGCAAAGTCAAGGGAAAGAAACTGAGGGCAACTATTAATTAAGAAAAAGGGAATCTGCTGACATTTAAATAGAAACTAAATGAAGAAAAGTGATCATGTAAATAGCTGTGAACACTGTACCTGTAAGCCCTGAGAACATGTTTGGGCATTTGAAGAACTGCAGTTGCAGCAGAGAAAAAGATTGTTAAGAGGGAGCCAAGAGTCATAGCATGAAGAGTATATAATAGCATGAAACACATAATACAGGCTTTATATTTAATTATACACATGACTTTGAAGGAGGTGATAAAAAGTGCTTGTATTTTGCACATACTTTAGAGTCAACAGAATTTGCTGATGAACTCATTAAGGAGCTTCAGAGAAAAAAGGAAATTCAGAGGGACCCTAGGATTTCTGGCCTAAGTGATTAGGTGAYTATGGTGCTATTTATTGACATACGGAAAGTACAATAATTCACATTTACATTGGTGTGGAAAATTTATATTTATATATTTATATATATAACATCTATTGTGGATATGTTAAATTGTATACTTTTTGTTACTCATCTGAAAAAAAAATGTTAAGTGGCTAGTTGAACAAATGAATCTGCAGTTTATAGAACAATTCTCCAGGTGACSATGGACTGATCCAGTTCAGTTCCCTTTCTCAGATGTAGCTCTCAAAAATAACCATAGAATGTGTTAGAACAACATCATCCTAAAATAGGGAGGAAAGGGCCTAAATAGCCTATGCTCTATTTTAGTCTCCAACCCTCCAGCCTAGAAATGAAATATCTTTAATGCTTTAACCCAGCAACTCATGTCACCTTGTGGTGATATGATATAAATTTCACCCTGATATAAATCTCAAGGCAAGCTACTTTCYGGGGTCCCTTAGATCTAGGTTGAGTGGGGCATGCACATGAGATTCCCATCTGCCCTTGGCAGCTTTCCCACCATGAATCCCAGGATTCTACTGTCAATTACTACCCATCTGTAAATAATAAATTTGCTTTATGTAACTTGTATGAATATCTATTATGAATTATATAATATCTACTATAAATTATTATGAATATCTACTAAGTATATGACTATTTATTGAACACTGAGAAGTTGGTAATCAGGTACACAATAAACCTGTTTCATAAAAATTGGCACAATTCAGTAGGGTCCAGTCTATATTACTGCCAAAGTTAGAGTGGCCATACCACTCCCAACCCCTCAAAACCCAGCTCACAGCAGAGATGCAAGCCAGCTGGCAGAGTAAGGGGAAATTTAAGAGCTGGACATACACCTGGATGTTTTATGGGAAAGGAGGCACGGTAAGTGGGACACAGGTCACTTCTTATAGATGGGAATAAGCTGGCTGCATGGWTTAAAGCAGAGGGAAATACAGAAATGAGGCAGTTCAGTACATGATCCCCTGATTTGGGGGTATTTATGAATTGTTCATGCCAAATGACAGAGACCCCAGGAAATGGGTAATCAGATGAACCCTGAGGCAGGTGAGAGGGAGTAAATAAACAAACAAAAAAATGCAGGCCTTCACAGAAATAGATAGTATATTGGGGACAGATATGCAGAAAGGCTGGGAACCCCTATACATCCTGACTAAAGTGTTGATTTGATAAAGGTACACTATAGATCTAAACCACTAAACAGTACAGTTTAGAGTGGAAGCAAGATCTCCAGAGGCTTACTGGAGGACAATGGCCTTATACTCCCGTCAAGAAGATAAGGGAATTCCAACTTTTCAGGGTTTCTTGTATACTGGAAACTTATGACAGTATTTCCAGATCTCCTTAGGGGAAAAATTAAATTGATTATATCAGGAGATTTGGGGATGAATCTAGTGAGCCAAGGTGCTTATTGGTTGTGGGTGGGGGCCCTTGGTTGTGGATCATTTTGGGTGCCAGTGACCAAATTCCCATTGCTGAATACATTATTCACCTTGACATTTTGGCTGTTTGTGGCCCAAAACATCACCTATGAGGACATGTTCCCTCATAGCCAAGAACTCAAGTCATAACAATGGGGCATAATCACTTCTGAAGCTAGCAAAGACCCAATAGCTATTTAGCAAAAGTGCCACCACACGCTAAGTAGAAAACAGGGCATAACTTTGTTAATTCAAAATCTGCTACAGACAAAAATATTACAAACTACTCTATTACAAAGCRCCAGCTAGTGTCACTGTCAAAAAGGGATTCAAGGTATGGAGACTAATAAGTCAGATAAGTATCCCAAATATAATTTAACAAGAATTTTTCACCCTGATGGCACATATAGGAAGAAAGCCTAATGGCTGATATGCCACTTAGGCATAGCACAACTATGATTAGGTGATTATGGTGCCATTTATTGTGATTAGGTGATTATGGTGCATCACATGAGTATTCTTTTGACCACTTCAGTGAAACTGCCAATATTGAGCAGGACTCTTGGAAGCAAACCTTGTAAGTAGTTCAACATGTCATGGCCCAAGTGCTGCTTTTAAAACCTTTAGCTGGCCAGCCAGATGGAATTACAAGTTACCTTCAKTCTCCATGTATGCGGACTGGGGTCTGTGGCAAGAAAAAATTACCACAGGGATTTGCTAGCCTACTGGATTTTGAGACATATAGTTTGCATGATGCAAATATATATATCCCTTTTTGATGAGTAACTTGCTTGCTAACATGCACTAGTGAAGATTAAACACCTTAAATAAATACCTTAAAGCTGAATCACCGCATGTGACTGTGAGACCTGAACTGCATGTTCTTAACTTGGGTTCTTACAAACCCCATCAATAAATTTGGCAGGCTCAAGGTCAATTTTCAAATGAAAATGGTATATTCAGGATCAGGCCAAGCAATCTCCATGAACTAGCTTATGGTTAAGCTTACCAGAAGAGACCAAGTGACCTATAGGGGAATGTTTTGGCTCCTCCTCTGGCTATCWGGGGACTAAGTTTGAAGATAAACCTACTAAGAGAATGACATGGTTTACTGAAGGATCTGTGAAACAAAGCCCAAAGGATCTACAGGATGGTGACCACCATTAGGCCAACAGATGGCCATCTTCTGATTAAGACTGAAGTCTGGATATTCTGCCAATGAGCCAAACTACAAGCAGTAGTAACATCCAAACCATCCTGCTATATTTTCACCAACTCATGGGCTACTGCTATTAGCCTAGCCATCTGGTCAGGAGAATGGCAAATRAACTATTAAAGGATCCCCTATACAGGGACAAGGACTACATCAACAGCTTGCTGCTTGAAGAGACATGTATCTTATTCACATGGACAATGAAGGCTACCATAGCCATTCATCTTTGAAAACAACTTACATTATGTTTTTGAATACCCCTTCCAATGTCAAGTCTGACSAAGGAACATACCTGAATACACAAGCAAGATGACAACAGGCACTCTCTCGCAGAATATTAATGGACTTTCCAGGTACTCTGTCATTCACAAGTAATGAAACAACCGACTAATTGAACAGATGACTTTTGCAACAACTGACAGACATCTGGATGTCCTGCTAGTTAGTATGACCTTCTGACTAAGACAGTATGAACACAAGTACTCCAGCACTAGAGAAACACAACACTGCAGTGCATGTTGAGAAATACTGAGCTTAATAGGAGTAGAGCGAGACCAGGCAACAACTGATTTGGATAAACCTATGAAATCCCAATCTGTTTTACCAAGCATTCTCTTGCACCTATGAAATCTCAATATTAGTGTTGCTAACCAGTTCCCTTTTCACTTAGGAGTAAATGTCCCAGGCATCATGTGTGGTTTATGGGATTAGCTGCCATATTACTTCAGAAAGGGGCTCCTAACTAAATTGGCAATACTTCCCCAGGGGTGCCTCCTCTCCACAGGATCCCATAGGTATAAGGGATAGGACCAAGTACATCTGATCCTTTCAGTTGAATAGAGCAATGTGATCAGACACATCAAGTTTGTATAGTATGTGATCTCCCCTAATGGACTGGTGACCACCATTAGGCTAACAGATAACCATCTTCTGATTAAAACTGAAGTCTGGATAAAGCCACATGGGCAATGGTGCTCATAGAGGATAGGGGCACATAACTATACCAACTCAGCTTAACCCCTGATAGGCAGAAAACACTCAAGATCGTGGAGAGTAATGGGGGTGGAGAGGCAGTTAAAATGCTTTTTCCACAGGAGGCAGCTGCACAGAACTAAGCTATGGCCACTGCAGGTACCTAACAAAATGTTGGATATGCTATTGCAGACCTTCTTCTGTCACAGACCTTCGTGACCCTCTGGTCCTACAAGTAGTAAACTTTACCAGCATTCTTAACCCCATAGTGTATACCAACAGACTCCATACCCTGGTTTACCAAGAAAGATTATATCACCAGTTACATGGAAAGGAGCCAGAAATAATCCATTTTAACTTAACTGACTCTGTAGCAAAATGTCACAACCCAAACTAACAAAACCTTAAAGGGCTGGTATTTTAGGCCAGGCATGGTGGTGCATGCATACAATCCCAGCAGCTTGGGAGGCTGAGGCTGCTGGATAGCAAGTTTGAGGCCAGCGACTTGGCAGCACTACATGATTCACCAAGATCTTGTCACAAAATAAAAAGGGGTGGGGATGTGACTCGGTGGTTAAGTACCCCTGGGTTCAATCCTAGGTACCAAAAAAATTTTAAAAATTAATTAATTAATTAAAAAATAAAATAAAAAGGGCTGGTATTTTAAGGCAGCATGCTTAAATGGTTAAATATCCTAGTAGTAATAACAAAAACAATAACTGGCCTTGTGCTAATCCCATGTGCAGGAGCTTCATGAACAATTCTGTATGAAGGAAAGTGAGCTTCTGCAGTTAGGTCATGAATGAGGCCCATATCCATATGTGGGCCACTGAATAATAAAATGGAGATAAAGGGTGTATATCCCAAATCTACAGCTTTCTCTGTGGGCAGTCTAGGGGTTAACCAAACCAATGATGTTCAATGGCATGTCTGGAAAGCTCACAGACAGTGGGATTCTATACACTGGGTGTGGTTGGGGTGCCCTTAGATATCACCCCTAGGAATGAGATGCAGTATTGAGTCATCAGCCTAAGGCTGAATGTCAGGCTTACAAGGGGACCTACCAGGAAGTATAAAACCACTCTGGGTTTATATGCTTTATCACACACAGAAGTAATTCTCATGAGAAAATGAGAAGAAACCTATCCTCAACCATGGCAGATATTGCCTTCACCTCTCTCCCAGCCTTGGCAGTCAAGGAGACATCTCAACCGCCTTTTAGACAATCTAAACTTTTTAATAAGCTGAATGAAGTGTATTCAAGTACCACATCTCTTGGTGTATCTGTATAGAGACCTCAGATATTGTARAAGCCCAAGTAGAAGACACCCAAAAGCAAGCCCACGGGCTGCAGATAGTAGTATTACCATCAGGATCCTTCTTTGACCTCTTCAGCAACTCAGTGCTTAGATTCCCAGGATCTAATCTGGGTCAGTGCTCCATCCAGCCCTGATCATCCTGCTTGTTGCAGTCTCCTAATGAAATGTATTCTGGCTATGGCTTCACAATGTTGTACTGTGTATTAGTTAARGTATTACACATCAACCCAAAGAGACAAACCTTCTCCTTCTCTAAATTTTGGGAGATCCATCGGTATATGAAATGGACTAGCTTTGCTCAGGGGGTTGATTATCTGTGTCAGGAGGATTGCATGATGGTTTTCCAGGTTGCCTTGGACTAACTCAATTTTCCTCTTTCTGGCTTATAGTTCTTAAGAATGTGATGGTCATGCAACGTCCTGATCTGGGAAGGGACTGGCTGGAAAATTCAGGGCTTTGTTCCAATCTGTCCCCAGAAATAGAATGTCTTTCAATTCTTTAGCCCAGTCCCATGCATCACCCTAGGACAGGCTATTTCCTAAGGTGGCTGAGAGGTGGATAAGATCCCATCCACTCTGGGGAACCTTTATTGAGCCTTGGGAACTAGTTCACAATAAATTCTAGGCTTTTGTTGTCCACTGCTGACTATCCATAAGCAATAAACAAACCTCATGTAGTATTTTGTGTATGAGGGTGTTCTTTCAGGACTCAGACAAGCTGATAAGTAGTGCACAGCCTGCTTCTTCACAGCGTTCAGGGAAATAGTTAAGTCTAGTTTAGATTTGGAAGGCATCAACTTGTAGACAATGTCTAGGCTAAAATGAGACTGTAAGAAGTAAAGATGTCTGTACTCCAGGCTGTGGCATGCTAACATTGAGAGATCAATAAGAATAAAAAGATACAGAAAAGGAGATGAAAGAGGAACAATCAGTATATCTATCTGAAACTTAAGGGCCTGGCAAAATTAAAGAAAAATCAGCCAAATCAAGGCAAGTCCACATATTTAGCGCTTTATTAGCCTGATTAGAAAAGGAAATCATGAACTGATTTCAGCTATTGGAAGCCAAAACAGAAATGCTATGTCACACATTCATACTGCTTTGACAGTTTGTCTAAATTTTTATCCCCGTGTTTCTTAAGTTGATAATTGTATTTACATGAAGTAATACCTAATATTACAATAAAAATATTTTATTTTCAAATAAGTTAATTCTTTCCCATAGGAAAGGCAAATCATACTTTCACTGAGACAACAGAATCACACTTAAGAGAACTTCCAAAAGCTCTATCACACACTTATTCATCTGCCTGCATGATAGTACATACTGACTCTTCTTSTGTCTGGGAATGACCTATTTCTGCCCCTTGCAAAGGCTACCTGTTCCAACTGCACACCAGTTTTTATCCTACTCTCACCTACTAAGGGAGCTTGTTTTAAGAATTTAACAATTTCTCTCTCCTGAATCACCAATGTTGCTTTGACTACCAAATTTTTTCCCATCAATGTATAATTTATTCTTTATAAAATCAAGCCCAAAAAAGCTTACTTCTATATTACCCTTCAGTAAGCTCCTTCTTTATCCTTTTCAGAAAATTTTTCAAGAGTTTTCTATATCCATACATGTATTTTTCTGCTGTCATTTTGTGGGAGTATGAACACACTCTATCAGGATCTCAGGGCTATTTCTCCTTGAAATATTTTTTCACTTGGGCTGTAGGTCAACTTATCAACTGGCATGATTTTCTTTGTATCTTCTCCATTCTTTGCTCACTCTTCCTCATGTACCCCAACTTACATGTTGAATTAGTGCACTGCCTGAAGTTTAAACTTCTTTTTTTTTTTTTTTTTTTAATATTTATTTTTTAGTTTTCGGTGGACACAACATCTTTGTTTGTATGTGGTGCTGAGGATTGAACCCGGGCTGCACACATGCCAGGCGAGCACGCTACCGCTTGAGCCACATCCCCAGCCCAAACTTCTTATCTATACGCATACCTTTGATAGTTTTATCCTGTCTTATGAATTTTAATATCACTTAGATACTAATGATGCCCAAATCTGTATTTGTCTGGATTAATATTCATATATTTTACTACCTAATCAACATCACCACTCAAGATTTCTAACAGGAAATCTCAAGCCTTTTATGCTCACTTATTTTCCTCATGTAAACCTGTTCTTTCTGTTCTCCACCGTGGCTAATGGCAACTTCATACTTTCATAGCTAGCCAATTTAAAATACCACATTATGTCCTCCTTCCCCTAAACTCCAAACTTTCTCCTCTACTTTGATATTTTTTCCACATCAGTTACTGCTACATAACGTGCTATATATTTTACTTACTTATTTCATTACAATCATTTTCCCAAATAGACCCACAAGGCTGAGAATTTTAACCATTTTTATCACTAGTATATCTCCAGTTCAAACAATTATTTTTAGCTCATAGTAGACACTAAATATTAACACAATTAATAAATATACATTAGAATTATATTAAAGCTTTTTTTTTTTTTTTTTGCTTACCTCAATCATATTTTTTTCTAGCTCCTTGTGTTTGTTTTCTTCACTTGCCAGATTTTTCTTCTTGAGGTCAAATGCACTTTGAGATTTAGTATTAACCCGYTGAGCCTCTGCAAGAGCATCTTCTAAAGATCGGAGTACACCTCCAACTTCCTATAATCAAATAAACACAACTGAAATTACTTAAAATATATTCATCCTTTAATTTTCTTGTATTTCTATATAAAATACTTATTATATAAGCCATTTTATTATCCTACATTAAGAACAATGCCTAATAAATCCTAAATAGCCACTAATAGTTAGACCCTGTTTCAGAATAAAAAATAAAAAGAGATGCAGATCTGGGTCAGTGGTTAAATACCCTGGTTCAATCCATAGTATATTAAAAAAAAAAAAAATCTTAAATGGTTATTGTACATTTTTTTCAGAGTAATTTAACAATTTATATGTTCCGACCTTATCTTTTCTTTTCTCCAATTCTTCTATTTCATGATTTAGTGCATTTATTTTTTTATCATTTTCAGACAATGCTTCTTGAAGTTTTACAACTTTATCCTGCATTTCTTTTAACTCCTCAGCTGAGCGCTCTTTAGTATCTTCAGCCAGTAAAAACTGATAAGCAATGTATAAACGACTCAAATGTTCTATTTCTCTTATTACTTTTTGATATTCCAAATAGGAAGATCTTTCCTGAAAGAGAAATCAGAATAATTCAAAATTCATAATTTTCAAAACAAACTTGGAAAGAATCAAACTACAGCATCATGTTTCAAATTTCTCATTACATGATATGATAAATTTTTGTCTTAAATGATCATGGCATTTTAGTTTTAGGAAATTTTAAATAATATCAAAACTCTTGCCTTTTTAGATAGCTTTATACCATTTCTAATGAATTCCATGTGACCTATTTTTTTAATATAACATGAGACAATTGGAATTAACAAGGAAATATGGACATATGGTTCAAAAACTGGCAGTAATAAGAATTCTATACACAATCTAGAAATTCATCAAGTGATACATAGTTAAGTACCTAATGTGCAGATGAAGAAACAAATTCTGAGTGGTTAAATGGCCTGTTCATATTAACAGATATCGAAAGATTATCCATATCAAGGGGATACCTTCAAGATCATAATTTTTCAGTTTTTCCAGTATCGATTATGTAAGTTCTACTTTACAGTACTATAGTACTACATTTAATTATCCAGGAAAATCGCACTTACTCCTCTTTAATAAAACATTAAAATCTAGCATATCATTTTCCAATGCAATGGAAGATTATTGTCCAAAATCATGACTTAAGAGATGCAGAATACATACTTTCTACAAGCAGAGGCTGTTATGGAGCACTTAAATTCCTTATTTCTTCTCAAGGAAAATCCCCAAGAAACAGTATACACTTCATCCCTATTTGCCTAATTTTGGATACATCACCAATTGTAAGAAACATTCTAACTGGCTCTCCTTATACACAAAATACATACCTCTTTTAATTTTTGAATGGTTGGAGTAATCTCTTCTTCGAGTATCTGAAAAACAGAGGAATATCAGTATTTTCAGTTTGTCAAATACCATTTAACAAAACTTTAAAAAGTAGACTGGAACACTGAAAAACTGATTAGAAAAAAATATTTCCCTCTTTACAGCAGAAACTCCAAATGCAAAAGGGTACTCTTTTCCAAAAATGTTTTATACAAATTTAATTACCGTCTTAATTTCTTTCAGCTTAGCCTCCTTTTTTTCTATAGTTTTCTGGGCAGCTATTTTTTTGTATTCATACATTCTTGTTCCAGCTGCTTCTTCAATCATAGATAAAATCTGGAATGACAATAATAATAATGTCATAAGAGCCCCAAACAATGCATCTCACTGGAACTTAAATTAATTATATCATTTGCAGACTGACCTCCCTAAGCATCTTACCAAAATAAGAGCTTAAAAAGATCATAAGCTATCAGATAAAAATGTAACTATTAACCACAACTCTTCTATTCAAGAAACATTTCTGGCCTCACTCCTATTCTAAAGTCAAACCTGCTATACACTAAGTTTCCAAGGTTTCTCTCTTCTGAAATTGAAGCCAATAATTCCTCCTTTTCCTTTCAATTACACACTTAAAAAAAGTAAAAAATAAAAGAACACCCCTTTCTTCTTTCATTTTAGGAAGTTTCTATTGAAAATTTTTTAAAGTCAGACTTCAGCTACTTTGCCAACAAGCCTGAAGTATGGCACAACATTAGCCTTCCAATTGTGGCACATGTGTTAACGACTACTACATATAACGTAATTTCCTCTGTGCTTCAGTTCTTGCCTCCAGAGTACTGACAATGTCTCACAGCAGCCTTGAGAATTAAACAAAACAATGCTGTGAAAAGCACAGTGAAAAAGGAAAATATGAATCAATCATAATTTTATAAGATGGCAATTTTCCTGGAACATGCTACATAACATATATTTCATAGATTTCAAATTAGCAATTTTACCCCTCAGCTGTTATCTATGGAAAATAAGCATGYCCTGTACTCAAATAGACTAGTATTATCAATTATCCATCTTACTGGCTCTTCTCAATAAAAAAAAAAAAAAAAAAATCTGAAAAGCCTTTGTTCATATATATATAATATTCATTCCTTCACACCAACTGTTTCAAGGTGGTTCCAAGAGAAAATTAAGTCTCAGTGCCCTAAATAACCTATTCTACAAAATGAACTAATTGCAAATTAATCTTTTTTCTTAAGCTTTTCTTTTTTTTGGGGGGGGGGGTTACGAGGGATTAAATTCAGGGGCACTCAACCACTGAGCCACATCCCCAGCCCATTTTGTATTTTATTCAGAGACAGGGTCTCAATGAGTTACTAAGCACCTTGCCACTGCTGAGGCTGGCTTTGAACTTGTGATCTGTCTACCTCAGCCTCCTCCTAAGTCGCTAGGATGACAGCCATGCACCACCATGTCTGGCTCTTTCTTAAGCTTTTCTATAGTATTAATCCTGACATGGAAGATGAATTGAGCAAGGTTGCTTTATGCTGTCAAAACTCTTTTAATATTGAGTACAGTGCTAAATATTCAACAAACAACTTCCTTTATAATCACTAAACAATGTTTCYAAGAATTTTAATGCATAAAATTATTTTTAAATTTTGTTTCCTAGAAGATTGAAACAATAGCTATAATTAATTACTACCCACAAATGGTACTTTTACCTCAGGAGGCTTCATATTCAATACTTTTGTAATTCGACCCTGAAAATAAAATGACAAAATTACTACAATACTAACAAATTATAAAATGTGAACTAATGGCATTCAATATTTATCTGTAGGGGGGCTTCTTTATATCTCAATATACCAAATAAGGAGGTATTTTTTCATGAAAAGATGTTACTTTTGTTAGGCATGACACTAAAGGAACTTTATAATTCTAGAATTTTAAAAATGTGCWATTGTGGAATATTATATTATCAGTGATACAAATTACCTGAGTTATTATATGATACAACTAAATTAACTAAAAATTAACTGAAACACAGTTAATTCAGTTTGTTTCACAGTTAATTCATTTCTGAGATAGTTAATATTAAAATTATAGGAGTATACAATTCTACAACAGATTAAGTATGTATATAGATTTTAGCAGAGTTGTGAACGTTTCTAGATTTTTTGATAGCCCTCACTAAATATACAACAAACCTGTACACCTCAAACAGAATATTTTATTTCAATGCCAGAACATTAAATCTGTTCATTACTAAAAGCAAACAAAACAAAAATCTGCACATCCAGTTCTCCCAGAATTGAATTTGTTAGGATACATATTCACAAGAAATAAATTTTCAGTCTTGAAGCTAATATGTAATGAAAATATTTTTATTTTGGTCTACAGTTTGAATATATTCCCCAAAGTTTGTGTGTTGGAAACTTATTCCCTTAAGCAACCCAGTGTTTAGAGGTAGGATGTATTAAGAAATAATTATGTCATACTTTATTTTCTACTATGTTCTTATGAAGGAATAAATGATGTTGGGAGGATGATACAACCCTCACCAGAGGCYTGTGCCATGCTCTTGGACTTCCCAAATAAATTTATATTGTTTATAAATTATCCAGTCTATAGTATTGGTACAGCAACATAAAATGGACAAACACATGGTTCCATTAGGGTCCTGCCAGTGACCTTACTAGGACGCTCTCAAAAGACAGCTAGATTTCAAGTGAAACGTTAAGTGCAAGATAGTATCAGCCTTATTTTTCATTTACATGAGTTTCTAAACAGAAAAATTATTCAGATTTTTATACCATAAATATTAAGATGCTTTAACCCAATAACTTAAAAATACACAATGATAGCATTTCTACCATTAGAGCTATTGTCCTTAGAGTAATAAAATAAGTCAAGAAAAATAATTTCTAGACATTCTTTAAAATTCAAATGTCCATAGTATGGTAGAAAACATCATTAACAATTAACTAACTGTATTTCTTAAAAGGTGCCCAAACACAGTAAATAACAATTCTAAAAATGGAAATAAAAACAATAAACACAAATAAAAAAAGAAAGAAACTAAAAATGGAAATAAAAACAATAAACACAAATAAAAAAAGAAAGGCACATCTGTTGCAATAGTTAAAAATAGTAAAACCATTATGAAAGACATAAGGACCACAAACAAAATACCTGCATGATGAGAAAGTGAGGGTTATTAACATTCAAACCAACAGAACAGAAGAGATCCTGTACTCTGGTGTTGTTTGCATTCACTCCATTGATTAAATATTTATTTCTGCCACCAATAACCACCTAAAAACGAAGCATTTTTAAAAACATAAATGTATATACCCAACTTTTTCTAAAATGATAAATTACAAATATTACCTTACATTTATTTGTTCTATCCAATTAACAATAAACAAAATCAATCCCAAGTAAATGGTTGAAAAGTGTGTCATGGTCAAAACAATTACTAACTATATTCAGAACAACTAGATTCTAATTCGGGGAATTTTGCTAACTATCTATGTAATCATGCACAATTCTCTTAACCTCCCCTGCATTGAACTATCTCTAAGATCACTTCTACTTTTATGCTTCCATGAAAGTATAAAACATGCTTTCTTTTCCTGGTCTTCCTTCTGTTTCACACTCAAAGGTGAACTCCTCTTCCTCTACTTTTCAAAGGGAAAAGAAGTCAGATACTTTTAAAAGCTATACAAGTGGTTTGGCATCATTTTCTGACAAAATTTTAAAAGGAATTAAGACATGTATTTTGGCCACTTAAAGACAGCCATGGAGCTTCAACATGGCTTCATTAAGAACAAGGCATGCCAGAAACTGGCTTGTTCATACTTTACCATAGCATTTAAATTGTTATGTTGGATATGATTGTTTCACCCCCTAGATACTGAGGCCTTTATTCAAGATCTTTATCTCATATTTCTTTCTGTATGTATACTCCAATGTATTCAAGAACATTCAGTACACATCAAGAAATTAATAAATACTGAATAAATGTTAATAAATATTAAATAAATGTCTTTCCTGACAGGATTGTTAGATTGATAGTACATATATTAATATATCTGAACAACAAACTGAGTATGCTTGCTCCTAAGTAATTTGGCAAGGACTTTAGGTAAATTTTGGTAAAGACATCTGAATGAGGACAGTTAAAATTAGGTAGATTAGTATTAAATTTAAGAACAGGGGCTGGGGATGTGGCTCAAGCGGTAGCGCGCTCGCCTGGCATGCGTGCGGCCCAGGTTCGATCCTCAGCACCACATACCAAAAAAGATGTTGTGTCCGCCGAGAACTAAAAAATAAAATATTAAAAATTCTCTCTCTCTCTCTCTCTCTCCTCTCTCTCTCTTAAAAAAAAAAAAAAAAAAAAAAGAACAATTCCAAAAGGGATATTATTTGATGAATGCCCAATAACAAAGTAAGATTCTGTCCCAATGTAGTCAATTTTTTTTTACTCATAGGCATTTATCAAAATAGAGGAGAGTATCTACCAGTGACATAGTTCTAAGATAGAGAATAAGTGTGAATTAATGGAATTTTAAAAAACAAAACTTTTGTTTTTAAGCACCAAGATTAAAGTACACAACTATAAGACAGTTTCACATTTCCATCAGATTTTTAAATAACTTTTTTTTAACAAGACTGGTCCAATGGGTTATTTTAGAAGATAGCAAGATCAGGTTTTTGGAGTATTTAAGTATATAGCCAGAAAGGATTGAAATATGGTTTACAATTCAGATATGGTTAAATTCTTATAATGGATGAAAGACTTTCCAGATCTCTTTCAATCCTCTTAGTTAATGGTGGAACTTGCATGATCAAAATTTTAATATCATTAAGAATCACATGACCTGGGATACTTTCTGAGAAACGCATCATTAGACAATTTTATCACTGTGCAAACTTCAGAGTGTACTAAACTAAGTCAGCTACATCATCATTAGGTTATATAATCTTATGGAACCACCATCACATATGCAGTTCATCACTGACTGACTTGAGGTTATGCAGTACATGACCTTATAAGGAAACTACTCTTAAGGACTTGATTCAGTATCGATGCATCAGTTTTGCTCATAAACCTTGTCTCCAAYACTTTCTCTGGTATGGGGATTGTACCCAGGGGCATTTTACCTCTAAACCACATCCTCAACCCTTTTTTTACTTTGAGACAGGGTCTTGGTAAGCTGCTTAGGGCCTCACTAAGTTGCTGAGGCTGGTCTTGAACTTGCGATCCTCTTGCCTTAGCCTCCCAAGACACTGGTATTACAAGCATGCATTTCTGCACCTGGCTTGTCTCCAGAACTTTTTGCAGTTATATTGACAAGTAATGCATCAGACCACCAGAGTTCTTACGGTATCCAAATATTTAATAATCACTCACCTGCCTTGTTACTGTGATTTCATCATGAACTTCAAATCCTAAAGGACTTTGTTTTTTGTCAGAATTATCAAAGGTGATCGACACTGAGGCTTTGGTAATTCCAGCCTGCCCATTTTTGTAAACTAAATCTTGTAAATTAGAAGCCCGAACCTGTAACAAAAGAAAAAGTGTATCAACTACAAATCCCTATATTATAAAGCAGCACTACAGTTGGAAAACCCACTCATGAATAAGGATAGGCAGTAGCATACACCGGCAAGGAAAGGAAGGACAATGGGCAACAACTCAATGAGTGCCTTTCCTGATTGAACTCTTTGAACTTTCTAATTCATTCTTAACAAAAGTTAACTTGCAAGATTGAAGGGAAGACAGTGCCTATGAATTTCACTTGTCATTCAATCCATTAGTATGTCCTTAAAAGGCATTATAACACTAGAGGGGACAAACAGAGATTTTGGAGTGATACTGCCTTAAAGTCAAAATGCCTGAGTTTGGGTATTACTACCAAACACATTAAGCAATGCCTGAGTTTCCATTTTCTCTTCCAACARAGTAATAATGCTTTCCTGAAGGGGCTTCACTAACATATGATATAATTCACATTAAGTAAAACAACGCAAATGAAGAAAACATTGGCAAGAGTCTCCAAAGTTGCGTGAGGATTCCCTTGCCAAACTTAAATTCACATAAATCAGAAAGTTTGCACTTTACCTGAGACAGGTTGGAGATTCCCAGCAAAAAGCAGATGGAGTCCAATATGTTGGACTTACCACTACCATTTAAACCAGTGATAGCATTGAAGAGGGGGTCAAAACCATTAACTTCAGTCCTCTGAGCATAGGATTTAAATCCCTCGAGAATGATTGATTTAATATGCATTTTCAATACCGTCTTGAGCCAGTAAACCTCTGTGATGCATCAAACAAACAACAAAACCAGATCTGTACAAAACAGAAATAACACCACTTAAGTGAACCGCAAATCTAGAGTTATAATGTGTGAGAGAAACTAAAACAGGTATGACAGGGTAACAGAAATAAAACAGCTGTCAAACCACCCTATCTGATAAAGGTATCATTCTCCTACTTTAAAAGATAGTTTCTACTTGGAAATTAAACCATTTAAGCTGTTAATGACCACTAGTACTTACTTTTACAGCTTGCCTTCCACKTTCATCATATTCTAACAAGGACTACTGATTCACATCCTTCACATCCCATTCTCTTTACCCACAACATACTTCTCTGATGGTGGCATGGTTCACTCTGCTCTTTACTGCCATCATGCACAAATATTACCTTGCTGGGTGGAGTCTTCCTATGTAAAAGAGCACCTCTACCCATCCTGTTTAGGCTTTCTTCTTCCTTCATAGCACTTACAGTTAACATTTAAAACAGCATTCGTTTACCCAACTAATCACAATTCAAGGTTCTGTAGCATGTTCGCCTAAGTCCATCACTGCATWTCCGAATAGTGTCTGACTCTGAGGGTCGGGAAAATCAACAAGTATTTACTTTAACAGGGTAGATAAATCTCGCATCTTCTAGCTTCTTGCTTTTACTCAGGTTGTTTCCTCTCCTCCCGACAGCTTTTTTCTGCACCTCCTAGCCCCATTCCAAGCCTAGATAGGAACCAGTCTTTACCCCTAATTATCGCTGTGGTCCCTTCTGGCCACTCGCCCTCCTCCTGCTCCATCTCCCCCCAGGATACCAGGCCGGGCCCAACCGGCCGCGCATACGCACCTACCTCGGCACTGCCTCAGGCCGCCTGTGCTTGGGGCGCCACCAAAACTCCCTCGGGTCACGAAGACGGAGAAAGGGGATAACCGCACCAGGCTTTGGATGCTATGAGGCAAACTCTACCATAGCAGGTACTATCCCAAAGCCTTTTACAGCACCCGCGCCGGAACTATTTAAGTCTTTGAATTTCGGCGCGAGCAAAGGACCCCATCTCTGCGGTTTATTTCCTCTGCTGGCGGCTAGGATCTGCCTGAATTTGGAGTTTCACCTTTTTCCTCCACTCGAATGATCAAAGTGACAGGGCGATAGGAAAGAGAATCTCGATAGTGGAATTTATGGCTCGTCAAAGTCGTTGAGCCCGGGAATTACAGGACAAGGAGGTGTATATTCACACCGGCGTCCGGCGCACTCTGGGCAGCCCCAAGCCTCTGCCTGGGGGCCTCATGCTTCTCCCGCCCCGCCCCGCCTCAGGCCCCTTCCGCCCCAAAGTTGCCTCCTGCAGACTCCGCCTTCTGCGAGCGGAGTTTAGCGGGATTCTGTAGTGCTTAAGTCTGAGAGCTGCGGCGCAGGAGAGTGAATCGTCTGTTGTCATTCTATGTTACAAGCCTTAGTTTCTCCTCGGATTGCTCAGCTTCTGGGAACAGGGAAGCTGTACTTTGTTGGGCCACGGAGGCGCTGATCTTTTCGGGCCTCTGGTTGACTTCTGAATGGCGAGCCTTTTCACCTGAACTTTCCAAGTCTCCTGGGGAATCCAGTGCTCACGGACTCGCTCTGAGCCCGGAAAAATTGTACGAGGCGGTAGTAGGTGCTAGGCCTACTGTTCATCTCCTTACCCTGAAAAACTATGTCATCATAAACAATGGAAGGCCTAGCATTTCAGGAAGTCTTATTGGAGGTCCTTCAGTACAGCTGGCGCTTACTGAGTTCAGTGTGTCAGGCCGTGATCCTCCGCGTTTAAAAACACGAATTAGCGACTCTATGCAATTCCTGAAACTGTTTTAATTGAATCCCAGGGCGCATTTTCGACAGTATTTCGCTAAGATGCTGAGGGTCTCAATTGTTGCGGCTGGCCTGAAACTTGTGATCCTCTTGCTGCACCTGACGCAGTGGCTGGGATTAGAGGCCTGCACCSGTGCCAGCTTGACATTGTTCTCATTTTGCAGATGTGTAAACAGTCGCAGAATGGTTAGTCAACTGTTAACCGAGAAATGGGTTTGTTCCCAGGCAGTCTAGCTGCAGAGCAAGTGTTCTTAAATATTTACAGAATCCAGTACTACTGGTAAATGATACTGTTACAAGTGTATACTGTTCTTTACTAAAAACAAAAAGCATGGTTTTCAGCTGTACTCACTTGAGCACATTGACGCTAACGAATTAGAAAGGGCTTAGATTAAAAATGGTTATGGTGCTATTCAAGGCAAGGTACAGAAAAATGGCCAACATACTATTTTTGAGTGCCTTAGTTCTTTTGAGCTGGTATAACAAAATTAGCTACTTTATGAACAACAGAAATTGATTTCCCCACAGTTCTGAAAGCTTGGGAAGTCAAGAACTAGGARCTTATAGTCAGTGTGTGGTGAGGAATGCTTTCCAGTCTTTTTCACTGGTGCACTTTCCACTGTTATTTTGGAAGTCAGAATTTCAATATATGGACTTGTGGGGGGAGGGACAACACATTTATTTAGACCATGTGTTTTAGAACATGAATTAAATTGCCTTCTCAGCCCTGAAATGGCTTTGCAATAAATCTCAACCAGTTTCAAACTACCAAAAATGAGCCTATGTTTTGAAATTGTTTTTCAGTTTAAAGAAGTAAAATAAGATTTTTATGATTTTTTGTTTTAAAAAGAACTTATGGAACTGGGGCCTCCGTGCCAGAGCACTTGCCTACCAATTGTGAGGCSCTGGATTCTATCCCTAGCACCATATAAAAATAAACAAATAAAACAAAGGCATTTTATGCACCAACAACTACCAAAAAATAAAAAAATAAAAAGAAATAACTCGTTTATGTAATTTGATGTACAACCCACTTGTGCTAGAATGTCAACGATGGATAGTGGCCTAATATCAATTTAATTCACTTTGTCCTCCCTGATTCTTGCATCTCCACACCTATTCACTTATATTGGCTCTATTGAATCTTATACATCTACTTTCAGCTCTGTACCTTTTTATTACTTTTCTGAAAAAAGAATTTAAACCTACTAGCATATCCTAATATAGATTTTAATATTGTGAAATAAACTATCCTTTGGGATAAAAATATAAATCAAGACAAACATTATTAGCCTTTACAACTATTTTGGTAGATTAATAGTAACTGATCTCCTTAAGTCAAATGGATGAAGATTTATACTGAAATGCACTTTTGCTGGATAAGGACTTTTGTGTATTTTAAGAATGCACACATCTAAATGCTCCCATCAAAACTATTAAAATTGCTTAAAATAAAGAGATATCTATTTGTTTTACATATAGTACATGCTAGATATGCTAAGGAATTTCTGCTAAATATGGTACAGAGGTACTTGAGGAAATCACTAATAGCTGACTTATAACTGGATCCTCAGATATCTACAGGTAAGTAAAGAACACAAAGGCACAAAGCCAGTGCTACCTGCTGGAGTGAGGGTAGAAACAGACTGTAAAATAGATGCAGTTCTTGTTTCATTATCATGGATAAAAAGTTTTGAAAGCCTCAACACTGGCAGGCAGTAGTTAAACTGTCAAGAAATCTGGGCAGCTAGTGGAGCCTTAGTTGTTATGTGGGAGTCAGCAGCAATTACAAGGACTTGGATAAAGCTATAAATCAGGACCTCAGAGAAAAATTTGGTCTTCTACTCCAGGGCATTAGGAGGGATTCCCTTCTTCCCTRAATACGTTTTTATAATTTCAGAGTACTGAAGTAGCTCTTATATGGTCAGGAGTCAATCCTCTCCTCCTGAAACTTAACACAGAAGAAAAAAAAATGAAAGGACTTGCAGAAAAAGGAAAGGTTGCTGCATTTGTGGAGAGAATATTTAAATTCAAGGGGATGAATTGCTAAATGATAGAAAGTTCATATTTTTAAAGTGAAATGATTAGCACATTTTGAATATTTCATTTCTACTACCATGTTGTCTGACCTTTGGTTCTTCAAAAATAACTTGACAAACTTTTAAAGAAACACAATGAAGCATAATTTAAAATAAGGAATAGGAAAGGAGGAGATTATATCTGCTAACACATGGGATCTGATTAGAACCATGCATTTTAATTTCAATGACAATACTATTTTCAATAAAACTATGTGTTCTGCTCTTTGTGAAGCTGCCTATTTTGCCTCTCTAACCAGGTTTAAATACTTAGTCTTCTTTTTCAGGTGGTTCTGTTATTCCTGGCTTTTGAATTCCTAAATCTCCCTTTTACAACATTTTCTGAATCTTTTTCATAGTGATTTATTTCTTCATGTGGTGATCTTCGGTGGGGTTGTTTTGTTTATGGAAATCTCTGATGCCTTGAGCTGTGAAAGAATCCCTTTTGAGAAATTGTACATTTATTTCTGCCAAGGTTCTTTGGCTCTTAAAGATCCTGAAGCATTTTTAAATTATAAGTTCTCAGCTCAGGATTTCTGAATTATGCAGATGTTATAAATTGAGATGAGTTGCAAGAGTTTTGAAGTTTTGTATTCTCACAGGTACATTTTAGAGGATATTCTCCCTATCTGAAGTAACAAAGTCCTTTGCCTTTTATCTCGGCTAAATAGGTAGCATATCTATAATATCAGTAGCTGACACTTCTTTAGGGCCTGGTTGCAATTCCTCTGCCTCATCAATGCTCAAGGACTTGTGTTTGAACATAAAGCCTAGCTACTAGCTGTTGAGAGTGTACTTGAGCTGTAAAAGCAAGAAGCTCTGGGTTCAATCCTCAACACCAAAACAACAGCAACAGTAAAAATGTCAGTACTCACCTGGTAGCTCCTGAGGCTCATAACATAGTGAGAAATGCTTTAGAAAGCCACCATAGTGTCAATTTCTGTTTTCTACTCCCAATTTTTTAATTTTCTTCTGTCACTGACAATTCCTTTTTTATTGTTTTTTTAGTAGTTTAGGTTTATAGTTTACATAACAATAGTTACATTTATTCCAGCATTTCTGAGTTTATAAAGGGAGGTCGAATCAACCACATTAGAGGAGATCTTCTCATTTTTTTCATAGAGTATCAATGATCTTTGTTTTGTTCCTGCTGATTCTTGCTTATACTTCTCACATTCTATATTCAAAGTAGCTTTTTCTAAAAACCAGTAATTACTTCTCTAAAGAAGTCTAGTACCAGCTCTTAAAATATTTTTGTACACTATTCGTGAAACATCTTCATATTATTATGTATATAGTATTTATTCTTTCAGTTTTTCCAGCTATCCTTGGCTTATAGCCAAAGTTACCCATTTTCTCTCTCTTTTGCTTTGTCTTATCCTTTTCTTTTATGGGAATGATTATTAGCTCCTCATTCAAGTTTTATTCTCATGTCGTTGTCCACACTGTCATAGTGTTTCCTAATTATTTTTTATTTCAAAAACATGTATGCATGTCTGATCCTCCTCTAATTGGTTTCTTTTTTCACCTAATCCAGMTTTTACCAGATAAATAAATACACAAAGACAAATAGAGAAATACTATTTGAACCTGTCTCCAAGCAGTTTAGAGTAGAATGTAAAAGACATATATGAAGACAATAACCAGAGAAAGAGAAAAGTGAAAGGCAATCTAGCCTAGATTGCACAGAAAATGGAATAGAAAATAACATTTAATGAAGCAAGAATTAGCAAAATTTTGTCCAAGAGATGCCCAGAAGTCATCTTAACTTTATCATCTTAACCTTCTAAGGTGTAACTTAACTTTGTTACACCTGAAACATTTATTTCTGCCTTTGCACATTCTGCACTTTGAAATGTTCATCCATTCTTCCACATCGCCCATGTGTATTTCTATTTCTATTTTAATTCCAAAGTCTGACCTATTCTGGAAAAATTATAGTCTCTTCTGTAATTCTTTAACCTTTATCCACATTTTTCTGACCTCTATTCCTATTGTGACATATCTTTGTGATACACCTCAGTGCCTCACATAGCAGACAATAAATATTAGTTGAATATGA